TTTGGATATTGTTTAATCATCTATATGTGTTAAATCAATCAACGGTTTTAGCAACGAGTAGCATCCTCATGATAAACCATTCATTTGTCTTGTGCATATGGATAACTAAAGACCTCCAAATTGAATAATGTTTTGTAAATATGATCGTTAGATGATGATAAATAGTGAATGATTTCGCAATAAAAATTCGTTAATCGTAAATAAAAAGACACAAGCATTATCCATAAAACAATAACTAACCCATTGCTTTCTTAATAAAGCATTCCTGCCTAAGTTTCACTCATTTTAAATGTCCAATCTCAGTAAAATATTTATATACTTTCATCTCTCTACTTTTTCATCCTTCCTGGTTGGTACAACTGCCAAACATAAACACCTATCGTGCTAATGAGATTGGCTAAATTCGATCAGAGAATGCGTGGATGGTTGGAAAACCAATAATTCACTTACCCCCATCAAGTCCAACGTAAAGAGAACAAGAGGTGACTGTTCACCAACGAGGGTGAAACCTGGCCATAACTTTAGATCCCAACCCTCCAGCAAACCATGACCAGTCTATAAACACGGACTCTGGTCCCTGACCTAATTGTCCCCTAACCAGCCTGCCCATCTTCCTTTCTTGGGGTCCCAACTCCCCACTGAGCTACAACCAAAATTACTCGCCCTCCCTGACCAGCTGTGAACTCAACAGCTACCCATTTGGCCACTTCTCAGTAGAAGTTCTATTCCATTTTTCTTTTACCAGAACTACGCTCTCCTCAAATCTCATACCAAACAAGCAAAATGGTTCAAGTAATCTCATCTAATCCAGTCTAATCCTGTCCCAAGTACAAACTATGGCTTGACTTTATTTCACACAAGATTTTGCAATCTTTTACGATCTGACTTGGTTTGAAAATAAATGGTTATGGAACAAGATTCTTGTCATAGGAGCTGGACAGTTTAGGCATGCGTAATCTAACAAGCAAAAGTTCATTCGAGGCAGATTAGGGTTAAAGTGTGAAATAGTAGCTTAAATTCCAAAAATTATGATCTGAAAGTGAAAGCAGATCATGGCGCCCCATTGCTTTTAAGCCAACGGGATCCTTTTAGTGAAGATTTGTAAATCGTGTTCATTCATCATACATTATGTAATTATTTTTTATCAAATACTATTTATGTTTAATTTTAAATAAAAATATTTAAAATAATTTCTAACCGTACAACGTAAAATGAAAAGATATAAAATTTCACAATTCTCAAAAAAGGATCCGGATTCGCTTTTAAGGATTCGAATGCTACACACTTGCACACCGTTCAACACCATAGCTAGGCATTGGTCTACATGCAGCCTACGATGATTTGAACCATACAAGTAGAGGAAAGAACATGGATACGTTAAAATGTTGTTTGGACTCTTTAAAAATTAACTAAAAGTCGAACCTCGCTTATTTATTTATTTTTTTTCAAAAAATCTCGACAAATCAAAGAGTCAATAAATCATTCTTCAACAGAAATTTCATTACACGTCAAGAATGCATATAAAAAGAGACGTTAAATATGTTTTTAAAACAATTCAAGAGGTCACATATGACCTGACAATTTAACAATTACAAACTCATCGATTTTCTTATTACGATGATTTCCTTAAGAACTTTTGATTTCCAATAATTAGAGAATATTAGTGGTCAAAGTTTGGGGTTCGAAAGCCATTTTGTGAGCTACCCCCATGCAGCATAAAGCATTTTAAACGTTAATTTTTTGTTTTGTTTTTGGGTTTGTAACTTTGTGGCTTGTGTCGTGTTGGGTTGCTTTATGTCACCATTGAAAATATCTTTCACAGAGCAAAAATATCTTGGTATTTCTTTTCTGTTTTTCATTTTTTTTTTAATTTTTAATCTTTTTACCAAAGGAAGAATATAAAGAAGAAATGAGGAACTGATTTTCTTCACGGGTTAGGTTTTAAGGAGGACAAACAATAATTGGTTGCAAAAGAAGAAGGGTTCAAACTCAGAGATACATCATTTTTATTCTTGTTTCCCATCTGAGATGGTGTAGCTTTCTTTTTGTTGACAGAAGCAATATTGGGGAGTTCCGATATCATAACCTAAGTGTGAAAATTTACACGCTTTTAACCCCTTGAGATGTAAGATTTTCAAAAAAATCGAGTCTTTTGCTAAAGGTTTAGCTTTAATATGCTTTCGTTTGCTTGGTTCTCTGTGAATCTACAATTTTATGCTATTTAATCGCTTCAGTTGCAAAACCAATGTGAGATGGTTCAACTTTTGAAATGTTTTGATTTGTTTGGCCTCGTGTGAATATAAAATTTTACGCATTTTAACTGCTTGAGCTGCAAGTCCATTGCCAGATGGTTTAACTTTGAATTCCTTTGGTTTGCTTGGCCTCGAGTGAATCTACAGTTTTACTCTTATCGATCCCCCAACAAATTTTCACACTTGTATATATAGTCAACCTGACAACCATGCAAGAGTGCAACCGAGCTGGTACACAAATATAATAAGATGGCAGCACTATCCTGCCAACTGCATGAGCTCCATTGCCACCGTGATGTTTAAGCCTCAAAGATTCCAAACTTGCTGTACTCGATATTACTCAAAAGAGAACCTCTCTTTTTTTCTTTTTTCATATGCTTTTTATTATATGTGATATTGCAGGTAAAGTAAATATGGACTTAGTAATTCTTCATGATTTTATGGTACAACAAATACTCATGATGTTGGTTGGATATTTTTACCTTTCCAGTTCTAAAGTCGTAGAGCATTTCCCACAGACTAGTTTCGTACATTATTATCGACAAAATTTCAATTAAAATATTCTTCATTTTCAGCAGTTTTACTTTATGAATAATGCTATAATGGCAAGCCACGAAAGATAAAATTATTATTTAATATTACCGCCTAATTTTCTCATTTATATGTAATTTTACTAAAAATTAATTTAAAATACAGTTATTTTAAAAACTCTTCCAAACAAACCCTAAATTCAACTGTACTTGCATATTCTCGGTCCGAATATATATCGTTGGTACTTGCAAACTCGAACAAGATGAAAACATACACAAATAGGATTTTGTGGTTGAAACACATGCAATAATTGATCTAAAACAGGCAAATTGTTACATTATTCAACACATAATTGACCTGAAACGTGCAAATTGTTACATTATTCAACACTTGCTGATTGTACAATAATTGTTAAGGATATTTGAAAGAGATCTCTGGATCTCTGTCCATCAGGACTATCGGATTAAGTGATTTGGACTTTTAAAATTTTGTTTAATAGTCAAACATTATTATAGCTTGTAAAATATCAAAATAAACGGACGGTTAAATGAAATTTTAAAATCTAAATAACTTGATCCATAATTTTGACGCATCAAAGAGATCCAGGATATTTAGACTGATGGAGCCCTGCTAGAAAGGACAAAGACAATGGAGTGTTGTAGTGCTCCTACCCTACCACAATTAGGGCTCATGATCCCAGGGCTAATGGGTAGGACCATGGCTAATGATCTTTTGTCTAATCATGTCTTCCCCTACCAAAATTAGGTATTATATCACTTTATGGGTGCCATAAAATTATAAGAGAAATGGTGTAGGAGATTCTTTTGAAGGGATTTTTTTGTTCACTCATATTTTTTTTGTACAAAATTATATATTTGCGAGATTAACATTAAATTATGAATTAGAATAGAGTTTATATAGAATTTAATTTGAGAGAATCTCCTTAATATTTATCTTTTATAGCCATGAATTCTAAGAGCATAATATATTATAGAGTCGTGTCCAACCAATCTATCTCCAGCTATTTTGTTAATAATGAACAAAATATGCTTCAAACCATGTTTATGCCTGGATTAATCTTGTTTAAGCTTGTCGTAAGGAATGTGGGGCAAAGAGATCACTTCGAATGCCTTTTCTTTCAACTTGCTTTAAGGTGTGTTTTAGTGTTGTAGTTTTTGGGAAAAGATTATAGTATTGTATGACTACTTGTATTTGATCTATATTTAAATTCTACTTGCCTGAAATATAACAATCTTTTTATGTTTTCCTTGTTAATTAGAGGTTTGGGTAGTGGTTTTCACTTTCAATTATTGTTTTGCACGAATTTTTTTAATTTTATCAATCAATCATGAATAAGATTAGCAAAAATAGAAGAATGAGTGTAAAAAAAATTGCGAAACTGCTTGTTGAGTGTTACTTATAGAATATGCTTGTGACATTCTCACTTAAATCTTCTCGATATACCTTTTTAGTTCTCATTCTCCTCTCAAATTACCTTATCTACTTTTAAGGTCACATTTTGAAGATCAACTTTGCAGAAAATTCAATCAACCACAAATCGTTTAACTATGTAGTTAAGGTTAACAAAATTTCATTGTTTAAGTGGAAAACATAGTTTGTCTATTTTTAAAATAAACTTTAGATGACAAAAAATTTAGTTGTAGTAAATTTTTTGTATAGAAGATGTTTAGAGGGTGACCTAAGAAATAAACGGTTCAAACTCGTGTAACATTGCAAGATGATCAAAAGAGTTGAAAAAAATAGAACGAAATTATCCATATAAAAATATTGAGAATGACCTAAAAAATAAACGGTTCAAACTCGCATAATATTGCAAAATAATCAAAGAGTTGAGAAGGTAGAGCGAGATTACCCATGTAAGAATATTGCTAAGAGTTCTTTTATCTGTTATTCTGTTAAGCTTATCAAATACCCACTTCCTACCGACTGACCTCTCATATAGAAGTTAGTTTAATGGGGTTTCCTTGACTCAAATATAATAGTGTTTCTTTTGTGGTTTCCAGAGTTCCTGCCGACTAAGAGATTCATGTTTCTTCGCTGTTTTCCAGGCACATATTAAAAACAACTAGTCTTGCTCCCTTCCCTGTTTTATATTATTAGTTTTAGGGAGTTTTATTTTTCAACTGCCATTAATCTATGTTTAAGTATTTAAGCCACTTCTGAAACTGTGAGTATTTATTCGATTAACAAATCAGGCAGCGGTAATTGCAGCTAGAACAAACTTCACACGCGCTCCTCTCTCTCTCTCTCTCTCTCTCTCTCTCTCTCTCTAAAAAATGCTTGAAAAGAGTACACAGAACCCTCGAACAGAGGGAGTGAAAGCTAAAAGATAAAGTGTTTAAACTCTCACCAACCTTCTTTGAACTCTCTCTCACTCTCTCTCTCTCTCTCTCTCTCTCCCCTCTTTATATTCTCAGCTCACAAGCAGAAAACCTGTTTGCTCTCCTCTCTCTCTCTCACTGTAAAACAATGAATAAACAGGAGATGATGAAGCTTCAGGTGCAAAACTTTTCTGAAAATCAAAGCTGTTTACTTTAGTTTAGAACCCCTTTCATTATTCTTCTGTTTTCTCTTAGTTACGTTTTCTCATTAGTATGTATTAAGTTATCAACTCAGTCTAATTTGGTTTTGATATTGATTTTGCTTGCAGACCTGTGTTCTCAAGGTTAATATTGACTGTGATGGATGCAAGCATAAGATAAAGAAATTGCTGCAGAAAATCGATGGTATGCTCCTCTCCCTTGTTACCATGTTTTGATATTTCTTACCCAACAAATTATTTCTTACTTTATATATCAAGAACTTGAGATTTGAACCCAAGACTTCCTAAATAAAACAAATTATTTCTTACTTTATACATTAACAACTTTCGTTCACGAGATTTGAACTCAGGCCTTTCTAAATAAATTAGTAGAGACTGAAAGACGTTAGATGGAATGTTTTCTTAATCTACCATAAATATTGATGTTTTTCGTTTACTTATGATTTTTCACCGTTCAAGTGTAACGGTATGAATTTTAATGGGGTTTTTAGTTAGGGTAAAACGAAATCTTGGTCACCGGTTTTAATTTTACCAATTTTGGTAATTTGTTTAGGTGTGTACACAACAAGTATAGATGCAGAGCATAGCAAGGTGACTGTGACAGGGAATGTTGATCCAAACACAATCATCAAGAAACTTGCAAAAATGGGGAAACATGCAGAACTCTGGGGAGGTTCGAAGGGTTCAAATTTCAATCAAGCCCAGCTCAACAACCAGTTCAAGAACATGGCTATGCCGGTCCAGAACGCGAAGGGCGGTGGCCACCAGCAACATCCACAAAAGGGCGGAGGAGGCCATCAGCAACAACCACAAAAGGGCGGAGGAGGTCACCAGCAGCAACACCAACAAATGAAAGGGGGTAATGGTAATGTTATGAAGGCGCCTCAGAAGGACCAGAAGTCTGTGAAGTTCAATCTGCCGGTAGAAGGGGACGAATTTGACGGTAGCGATTTCGATGAGTATGACGATGAATTTGATGATGAGTTTGATGATGATGAATTCGATGATGATGATTACGATGAGGAGGAAGAGCTTGATCATGGACATCATCAGATGGCTAAGAACAAGGCGATGGGTAATATTGGAAATGGGGCACAAGGAGGTCCTTATGGGAAGATGATGCCGATGATGGGTGGTAATAATGGCCATGGGCCACAGGTGCCTGCTGGGATGATGAATATGTTGCATGCGATGAACGACAAGAAGTTAGGTGGCGGTGGCGGTGGTGGGGGCGGCGGTGGGGGAGGGTCTGCCAAGAAAGGCGCTGTGATTGATTTCCCTGTGCAAGTAAAGGGAATGGGTGGAAATAACGAAAAGAAGAATGGCAAGGACGGAAATGGAGGAAAGAAAAGCGGTGGAAATAGCAAGGGTGGGGATAAGAAACAAGGTGGTAAAGGTAAGACAGAGGGCAAAGATGGCAAAAAAGGAGGTGGCTTGCTAGGGTGGCTTAGCCGGAGTACGAGTATCGGACGAGGAGGTTCGAAAGGCGGTGGCGACGAGAAAAGTAAGGGCAAGGGCAATGGAGGCAAAAAGGGTGGGGGCAAACATGAGAAAAATGATTTTCATGACATTGATTTCAATGGCAAAGGAGGCAAAGGAGGCAAGGGTGGGAAAGAAGGCAAGGAGGGCAAAGATGGAAAAGGAGGCAAAGGTGGCAAAGGAGGCAGAGGGGGCAAAGGTGGCAAAGGCAGTGATGATGATGATGAGGATATGCAACAAATGGGTTACATGGGCCGAAAGGGCCAGATGGGTCAAATGGGTCATGTGGGAAATATGGGTCAAATGGGGCAGATGCCTCAAATGGGCCAAATGGGGCGCGGTGGTGAGAATATGGGCCAAATGGGTCAAATGGGTCAAATGGGTAGCTATCCGATGGGGCAGATGGGTAATGTTCCTGCAGTACAAGGACTGCCTGCACAGGCGATGATGAACGGCGGAGGGGGATACTATCAAGGCGGTATGGGGGCCGGCAACCCATATAATCAGCAGCAGCAGCAGCAATACATGGCCATGATGATGAATCAGCAGAGAGCAGCAGCCAATGGTGGAAATGATATGTACCATCCAATGATGTACCCCCGTCAGCCGCCACCACCGATGAACTACATGCCCCAACAGCCAATGCCATCAGGACCTGCATCTGATCCTTATGGCAACTACTTCAGTGATGAGAACCCTAATGGTTGTAGTATCATGTAAAAATAATTTCTATTTTTGCGGTTTTATGTATTTACTTGTTTTCTAGGATCATTGTGTTGTGGTGCTAATCCGAAAGTATTTTGGAAGCATGGAAGGAAGTAGCATTCTTATCCTACTTGGTAAATGGTAATGAGCAAATTTTTGTAGCCTGGTAAATGGTATTTGCTTAAACCTATTCAATGAGTGAATGATTAGCTTCTCATCCGAAATTTTCTAGGGGACAAATACGTATGAACTACAATTGTAATTTCAGGTGTTTGTATTGAGGACGTTTTGTAATTTCAGGTGTTTGTATTGAGTACGTGTTCGATATGTAATTAACGTTTCATACGATTGTTCAGGTGTTTGTATTAGGAGCTTTTTGTAATTTTTGATGTTTGTATTGAGTACGTGTTCGATATGTTATTAAACGAATCCTCCTCATCAAGGTGGAGAAGCCATTGGTGATTTGTTTAATCAATTGGTTCAGGAGATGTGATTAAACTAATGTGGATATAACGGGCACTTAGATCAAAATGTATCATGTGTTGGATTCAACTAGGAAATATTTAAAGGATCAATCTCTATCTGTTCAAATTTTTGGGACATCATTTTCCATCTTTTGACTTCCACTCCCTCACCGCCCTCCACCTTCTGGTCCTTGCTTGGAATTGGAAGGTTGGAAAACGTGACTTTATTGGCATTTTATACAAACAATGCTATCAGTACAGACCAAAATTAAAAGAACACTGCCATATCAAATATTTTTCTTGCTTGGTGGGCTATGAGATATATAGCTGTTCTATAACCTCTACCCAACTAAGCATATGGGACTTATGAGCGTTTTAATCTAAATAGACCATTTATTTGATTAAAGTATGTTTGATGGCTAATGTAATGTATATGATTAAGATTGTGTTTAAGCCAATTGTACAGAATCTCGCCTCTGTGGGAGGAGTAGACTTTCATGTAACTCATTTAGTGTCATTGTACCCATTGGTGGATTCATTAAGGATCCTGGTGGTCCAGTGATCACCTGGAAAATAAGTGTGTGAAGATCTATGAGGACCACTCAAGTTTGGGCATGTGGTGGAGAAGAAGAGTGTAGCAGCAAACCGGCGAGTGCAGGTTCTACAAATGATTAACAAAGAAGAAGAAGATTATTCTGTTTTTTAAAAGACTTGGCCAAAACAACGTTGTTTTGAGCCTAACTGTTTAAAACAAAATAATCAAAAGCAAGTCATCTTGTTAAGCCACGTGAGGGAGACCCTTTTAATTAAAAAATTAAATACAACCTATTTTCTTTCCTCCAATTCCCTTTTTCCTCTAACCACACCCAACATATCCTTAGGCCATCACTAGTGAAAATCATCATCAATTAGTTCTAACAATCCTATAAAATATTTCAACTCCAATTTCGATGGTTTCAATCCTATTCCGTATAGTTCAACTCCAAATTTGGTTAGTTCTAAATCATCATCAATATGTTTTTTCTTGTATTGACAATGAAATTATCATGACACATTTTCAATGTATATGAACCTCGTCATGGACAAATTTAGTTTTTGTAACTTGTAATTTTGTTTGTATAAAGATTATGATTGAAGGTTGGTAATTTATCCTTTAAATTACTAATGTTATTTTCGTCAATTTTTTTTGAAACTTTTATGTTGGGACCATCCGATATTAGAATCCTGGATCAGCTATTGACCGTGATATTTTTAATCATTAATACAAGGTTAGGTGCAAGACTCTCCCCACATGACTTTGTATTAGTAAGTTAGGACATCATGATGATGGTGAACATTATATCAGATTATTATCCAGTTTAATACGTTCAAATCTAATTGATCAAATCTAGCAGCCAGAACATTAGTAAATTTTGATTGAAATAATCTTAATTGATCAAATCTAACAAAATAAGGGGAGAAAATATACAACCTGCATCAGTAATTTTTCTTATTAGAATTAATAAAAAAATGCTCAACTTTTATATTTTTCCAACTCATGGGGTCTGTGAGCGTTTCATATTTTGATCCAATCTGAAAGCACGGTCCCATAGCACCAAAAATTTCAGTATGATATCTCACTGCAACGTTACAGTATGAACAGGTTTTGTCTCTTCGAAATTCGTATTAATTCGGCCATGCGTATTTAATCTTACTTTATAAACAATTAACAATGCTCCCCTGCCAAATCAAGAGAGATGATTAGGGTTGTTTTAGTTTCAATCTGCAACAGTATTTGGCGGTGTCAAGTAGAAGCCAAACCCAGTCACTATTTTGCTTGGTCCTTACAGCACAAGTTACTGCATGGCTGTGTACGGGCTTCTGCACTGCCAAGTACCCCTACACACTCTCCGACACCTTGTTCTCATATCAAGGCTTATGCTCATCTACTTCACTTTACACGTGAAACCCTCACATTTGTAACGTCACAAAACTGGAAAAGTTCCATAATCTCTCAAAGAATAACTCAATGCCAAAACCCTAAATGTCCATATGCACATCCATAACACTCCAGAGCGTGCCCTAACTTAGTAACCTCCGCACTATAAATTGTACTCTCTGCTCTCTCGTTCTTCGCCAATCCCACCGTTTCCTCTCAGGGTATACATAACTTCTTCGTTCGAACTCCAAGTCCGTTTCCATTTCCATCCATGGCTTCTTTCCTTCCTAGTTTGGTCCTTTTCTGCTCTTGTTTTTCTCTTCTTGCTTTCATATCTGCGGCGACACTCAAAACCCAACTCCAAATCCCCATCAGGCCGAACAAGCTTGTCCTCAGGGTGCAGAAAGATGATGCAACCAATCTTCATGTGGCCCAAATTTACAAAAGAAACCCTTTAGTCCAATTCCCCTTCGTGATTGACCTAAATGGGAGGTTCTTAACAGAAAATTGTGAGAACCAGTACTTGTCATTGGGTTACAATGCCCCATTTTGCCACTCGACGCTGTGCGCTAGAGCTAATCCTAATAGCCCGATGACATGCCGCACATGCTCCTCTAGAACCCAAATAGGGTGCCACCCCAACGCGTGTGGGCTCATGACCACAAACCCCGTGACGCGTCAAAGCGCCTTAGGTGAGCTTGCGCAGGATGTCCTAACAATCTCATCAACCCAAGGCTCAGGTCCCGGCCCAATGGTCCAAATCCCTCAATTCCTATTTGCATGTGCACCTTCCAGCATATTGCAAAATGGGTTACCCAAAAACGTTCAAGGTATTGCTGGTCTAGGTCATTCCCCAATTTCCCTACCTTACCAACTAGCATCCCACTTTGGATTCCCACCAAAATTCGCCGTGTGCCTTCCTCCTTCATCTGTCCGAAGTGGCGTCGTTTTCTTTGGGGAAGGACCTTATTTCATGAAACCGAACATCGACGTGTCGCAGAAGTTGACCTACACCCCACTGATCATAGGCAGGCAAGGAGAGTACTACATAAACGTTCAATCCATCAAAATCAACAACAAGATTGTTCCACTCAACACATCTCTCTTGCCCTACACACCAGAACAAGGGGTTGGTGGGACAATGATCAGCACCACAACTCCCTACACAATCCTCCAAACCTCAATCTTTAGGGCAGTCAATCAGTTCTACATCAATCAGCTGCAAGTGCTCCAAGTGACACCCGTGGCGCCATTCGGGGTGTGTTTCGATGCAAGGAGATACATCGGCAACAGCACGGCCGCATTTCCCAGCATAGACCTTGTCCTAGATAACAACCAGAACATCATCTGGAGGATATCTGCTCCAAACATTTTCGTCCAGCCACGTCCCTTCATAGGGTGTCTAGGTTTTGTGGACGGCGGGATGAAGCCTCAGGCTTCGATCGTGATCGGGGCAACGCAGTTGGAGGAAAATCTGCTGCAGTTTGATTTGACGAACTCAAGGTTGGGATTTAGCAATTACTTGTTCCCCAGGACTAGTTGTACCAACTACAACTTTGGCAGATCCTCCACCAGTGCTGAAGAATCTACTGAGTCCACTGATGAGCCATAAATTGTGATCTCCCTAGTGAGAGATTATGATATAAGGGTGTCTGTGTATGTTGGTTAAATAAAGTCCAAGTAAAATGTAAAGCTTTAAGCTTTTGTGCTTTGGTGGAGTCTCTTATTAAGAGACCGGATAAATAAAGCTCTGTTAATTATTTGTTCATGTCTTCTTCTTGGTACCAGCTCAAATTCAATCGTGAATGATATTCTTAAATGGATTCAAGCTCCAGTTTTAAATTTCTAGAAGTTTTCCTGTGTGGAAGATTAGCCAAGTTGCGAAGAGTAGTGTACTCCCTTTTCTACACCTAAGTTTGAATCTCTCTTTCTCTAGTATATTTTAGAATAGAATATCGTTCCAACATAAAATGAAATAACAATGTTATAGTGTGATGACAACAATTTTTTAGTATGATGACGGTTACAGTGTCATACCCTAGGCCCTTTCTCGTGTGACAAACGGTTATAGCGCCAGTGTAGTGTTTAACACTACACCCTACGCCCTGGGTGCATAACGTATGACAATGTTCACCTAGAACAAATCAAGTGTATTTGTAACACTATATGCTACAAAAATTTCAGTGTTCATGCTGAGGATTGAAATTTCCATATATATTCAACTGATTAAGATTTCATGGTTCAATTCATATTGATGTGTTTTATACATAATCTGCAAAGTAATTTGATTAGATTTGGGATTTTTTTTTTCTTTTTTCTATATATAAAAACGATGTGTTTCTCAAAACATTGCTAGGTCGATCAAGGAAGATTGGGCTGGTGTTTGGCAGGCCTAGGCTTACTCTAAGTTTGTTGTTGGGCTAATATACCCCCTATATTTTCTCAGCTAGAAAAGAGTAGCTTGCACTTGAAGAGCCCAACGAACGACTTATTGTTGTTCTTTAAAATAAATCATTTCCCCCTTCACGAACAGTTATATTTATGTTTTATTTTGAATCGAATAAATTCGAGAAGAAATTAATTTACAGAAATAAACATAAGTGTATAAAAAGTATTTTTCCAAATTATAAGATGAGCTTTATGGTTTGATTTACTTCAATTCAGTACAAATAGAACTATTATCATGCACTCTCCAAAAAAATGAGCAATTTTTATTCAAACAATACCTCTGACTTATTAGTTAAGATGGATACGTTAGATCGTAGTTCTAGTTAGCATAATTTATTTTTCTTAAAAATCTTTGTATTATTTGAATAGTGAGTTAGTTACTTCATTTCTGAGTCCGAGTGTAGAGTTCAAATTTACGAGTCGAGATCCTTTCCGAATCTCTATGTCTAGAGGAAATACGGGTCATTGAAGGAAAAGAAAGAGAGATCTAAACCTTTGATTTGTTTAAGGTGACTAACTTAATGGATTAATGAGGATTGCATAATTTAAAATGAGTGGTTTGAATTTTCGAATTCATCAGCCACAGATACAAAGATTCTGAATTCCAATTTTAACATATCTCAATATTGCTGTATAAAAACACGAAAAATGATCATCTTCGGATCATCTTTGTGGGGATCTGGAGAATCAATCAATCATGTCATTTCATCGTACATCATACGGTCAGAAATTATTTAAAATTGAATATAAACAGTACATAACGAAAAATAATCACACGATATACGATAAACAAACATGGTTGATTGATCATCCGAACCCCACAAAAAAAAAAAAGGATTCGGAGAGGATTTTTTTCCCAAAAACACAATGTGAACAATGGGCCCCACCGACGTGTCTTGTCCAATGAATGAGCAGTATTTCTGAAGTGTGACAACACTCTCTCTATCTCTCGATGCGTTTATTATTCCGAGTACAAAACGAGAAAAACCTCTGTAGTCTTCGTTTCTTCAAAACCCCCCCCCAAAAAACGCACTCAACATTTTCCCTTCTTCCTATCTTTCTTCTCGGACCAAAACCTGAAGAACCAGAAATCCAAGGAGAAAAAAAAAAAAAATCCCAGAACGAGAAAAAAATGCATTCGTTTGGGTACAGAGCCAATGCTCTGCTGACCTTCGCAGTCACAATTTTGGCTCTAATGTGCGCCATGGCCTCCATCTCCGATAATCTCAACCACCCCACTCCCACTACCCAAGTCCAGGTCCTTCGCCTTTCTATTGGGCAGATCTGGGATTTCAGAAGTTTTGATTTTTTGGGTTCGAATTCAAGCACCCAGTTGGATTTTGTTTCTGATTTTTGGTTATTGGGTTTTGTTTTAGGTGTTGAACATCAATTGGTTTCAGAAGCAACCAAATGGGAACGAGGAGGTACGTTTCTTTTATTTGTAATTTGGTCGGTTATATGTGAAATTTCTTTGAATTTGAATTCAATTTTATATTGGCTGAAATGGGTTCTCTCTGAATTTCGATCGTAATGAGTGTATCAATAGTATTTGATTAATCCAGTTTAAAAACTGCCACTTTTGGCTTTTTGGTTTATTTTTTGTATCAAGTTTTCATGTGTATACATTTATTATGTGTGGATAGGCTGTGTCGATATGAAGTTTCGTTGAAATTTCTGGGTTTTGTGTTTTAGTTTCAGTACATAATTTGTTTCTTTGATATTGGTATGCGTTTTATGAGTTAAAAGTAAATTGTAAAACAGGTAGTATTAGGATCCTGGGGAGCTTATTCACCTCTTTCGATATATTGGTGCGAGCTCATTGACTTTTGGGTTTATTACTAATCAAATGGTAGGATCACTGCCCTTCAGCACTGTAAACAATGGGGTAATTCTCCTCAGTCGACAATGTGATCCGTGATTTGACTAGTTAAAGATGGTAGTTGCCGGTGTAGAGTTTTGTGACGAATATAAGAGAACAGAACGGGATTGTGACAATTTTCAGTATATAAACTTTTGTGATGACCAAATTCAGGAGAAAGATATTAATGTGTAGTGGTGATGCCTAACAATTCTATTACCTTATGTTTGCTTCAATTTTTAAGTAAATAAGGTATAATATTTTATTTACATCGGAAGTACTGAGATTTCTTGATTTGGGTTGGTGTGGGGTGTGTCTAGAGATTTGGTGCAGCCACTGAGTTGGTGACTTATAGTTACATGTTTACAGAGCATGAGCTGATAGCTACATGTCTACAGAGCACGATCTGAGCTCACAATATTTATCTTAAGTAATTCCTCTACCAATAGGAAAACAGGTAAAAGGAGTTAGAGGATAGTTACTAGAGGTGAACGTCACAATAAAATTGACATTGGAAGCAGTTCATAGAACTTGACATCAAAAGGTTCTTGAACTGTTGTCCTATTTCTGTTAGTTATACTTTGTCATCAATTTTGGATTTGCTTTTGTTATTTATCGAGACCATGATAGACAGGCGATTGAAAAAGGAAGGTTATGCGTACTGAATGAATCACAGTTTGATATGAACTAAAATGGTTTTCATTTTATGCAGGTCAGCATGACTATGAATATATCAGCAGATTTGCAGTCATTGTTTACATGGAACACAAAGCAGGTTTGCAATTTGACAAATTTCTGTGTGTATATATTATCATGAATTCGTGGTCATCTACATTATTTCAGTATATCCTGTGCACGCTTTCACTAGTATTTGGATGCACTGCAAGGAACTCCATGATGATCATTCTCTAGAGGGTAATGGCAACTATCATGCATAGGATGAGAAGCCACCTACCAAAAGTCAAAAACTACTTTCGTTTGCATTGAGATACCGTCTTTGTTGTCCTGGTGCATTACTTTTAGACGGTGTAGTGAAATTTAAGTTGTGCACACCACAGTTAGATAGTCTTTCTATTTCCCAGCCAGTTTATGTCATGCAAATATGATTCATAAACTTGGCGTTGATCCCTTTTACTTTATTTGCAATGCATGACAGGTTTTTGTTTTTCTAGCCGCTGAGTATGGAACCCCAAAGAACTCACTGAATCAGGTAGCTGCACATATTTTTGGAGTCATATTTTTTTTTTCAATTGTATTTCTGGTTAGTTATATGTTTTGATTTTTGTTTTTTGAGGTAAGATTGAGATTATCAACTCTTTCACTGAATAACTGTTTTTCCATTTTCTCTCTTTTGCTTGTTCCTTGGATCTGAACATCCACTCTAGGGCATGTAGACTGCGCGGTGTTTAGTTATTGCTTAAATAAGTTTTTTGATTAAACTTGAATGCTATTCTACAGATTTCTCTTTGGGATGGTATCTTACCAACAAAAGAACATGCCAAGTTTTGGATTCATACTTCAAACAAGTACCGTTTCATTGATCAGGTACGGGTAGTCCCTTTCATTCTTTGCATCTGTTTCTTGGCTTCACCAGAGACTAAGTTCCACTGTAGTTTCTTCGATCTATCGATAACTTACTCTCTCTGTAAATCATCTTTGTGTAGGGAACCAATCTCCGAGGTAAAGAATTCAACTTGACGTTGCACTGGCATGTAATGCCCAAGACGGGCAAAATGTTCGCCGACAAGATCGTCATGCCGGGATATCGCTTGCCACAGGAGTACAGATGAGGGTGGTTTGTCTTGTGTATCTTTTTCTCTGTAGCTTTAGCCTCTAATCTGAAAGGGGATATAAAAATGTCATTCAAAATTAGAGACTTAGAAACAGGGAAGGTGATTTACTTGTTATGAGAAAACCAAAAAGAATGTTGGACATACGAGAGATTTTTTAATTTGTTCAGAACGTCGGACGTTACGTCTTGAAAACAATTACTTTCTTTTAATCTTATAATAACAAATGTCTTATCGTATCGTAGCTCGGCAGACTAAAAAGTCTCTATGGACGTACGGAGCAAGTAGTTCTCCCATAATGCTAAGATCCAATTTTTTTTTTCCTAAACAAACAATATAGAAAGAAGTGAGCTTAGTATTGATTTGGTATTGAGGTGTTTTTATAAAAAATGGGTATAAAAAACAAAACTTAGCTCAAAAAGGTGTTTGGGAAACACTTAAAAACAGTTTATTTTCATAGTTTTGGGTAAAAAAAAGCTGAAAAATGAAGTAGTAAAAATGAGCTTATTCTCACAGCAGTAGCAGATTTTTTTTCAAACCACAATAATACCAAACCAGCCATAGCCTCATAATGGGTTAATAATAATGTAATTCAAATTCACCTTTAACGATAATCGAATTTAAAACCTCTCACTTACTAGGAATACAACTAAACCGTTGTACTAAGTTACTTTTTAAACCATCGAAGATGCAAAGTAATTCCGTTACAAGTCATAAATGCAAGGGCCAACTGTCATGCACCCGAACGTAGAGTATCTTCCCTAAGATCGCCAGGATTCCCGTTGGATTTTCGAATAATAATTGGATTTCCCTGTATCTTTTTACTACGATTCGATCCGACGTGAGAACGAGAGCATCAAATGACGCCCGATATAAAAATAATTTTCCTTTTTTCACCAAAATTATTAATTCTTTTCCTTTTATTCTGGGATATTAATGTACATAAATAATTAAAACTAAAAACTATTAATTATTTTGTTAAAAAAAAAAAATTTATTATTTCCATATTTTATTTGTTTTTTTGTGGTCGAAAATTTCCGTGGATTTGGAGTGTCCATTGGCGATCTTAGATCATAGGATCAAATCCCTATACTGCTATACAAATACAGAGACTTGCTTGCTACTTGTCAACTAAGTCCACTCCACTCCTCTCTGTCTGTCTCTCTCTATCTCTAGTTTCTCTCTATCTGTCTCCCTCTCTCTCTAGTTTCTCTCTCTAGGTCTTGTTTCCTCTGCGTGCTAGCAGAGCCCTAACTTTTCCAGATAGTTTCCTTTGTGCGCAAGGAGAATTAAACCCTTTACCTGCTTGAATTTGGAAACCCTTAATCCTTTATTAAATTAAACCACGGATTTGGGGAGGGAACTTTCCATCTTTCATCTTAGATTACAATCTCTATAAATATACATATACACTCATTCTTTCTTGCCCATTTCCACTTCTCTCTCTCTCTCTCTCTCTCTCTCTCTCGCTACTTTCTCTCTCTAAATACTCTTGCTACTCCTGCTACTCTCTCTCTCTAAGTACTACCACGGATTTGGGGAGAGACTTTCCAACTTTCATCTTAGCTTTCTCTCTCTAAGTACTCTTGCTACTCTCTCTCTCTCTCTCTCTAAGTACTACCACGGATTTGGGGAGGGACTTTCCAACTTTCATCTTAGATTACAATCTCTATAAATATACAAATGCACTCGTTCTTTCTTGCCCATTTCCACTTCTCTCTCTCTCTTGCCACTCTCTCTCTCTAAGTACTCTTGCCACTCTCTCTCTCTAGCTACTTTCTCTCTTTAAGTACACCGGACTCATGGAAGGTCCAAGAAACTCGAGTTCGAGAAAGCGGAAAACGAGAGAGATGTCGAGAGGACAAGTCGTGCTTGCTCTCCCTGCTCCCAGTGTCCCTCTTCCACCGCATCTCAGCACCACCGCCACCAAAATGGCAGGCAGTAGAGAGAAGCCGAAAGAAGTAGTGCTTGCTCACTCTGCTCCCAACGCCCCTCCACCACCGCCCCACACCACCACCAAAAGGGCAGGCACGAGAGAGAAACCAATAGTAGTGATTGATCATTGTGCTCTCAATGCATCTCCATCGCTACTCCACACCACCGCCACCAAAAGAGCAGGCATGAGAAAGAAGGCGAAAGAAGTAGCACTCGCTCTCTCCCCTCCCAATGCCCCACCCCTGCTTCTTAAGTTCATGACGGCACGAAAAGTGACTGCACCCTTCGACCCAGACCACCACCCTCAAACCCCGCCAGTCTCGGCCAAAAGAGAACATGAAGAGGGAGCAGCGGCGCCGGCACTACAAGAAGCTGAAAAAAAAGAAGTCGAGGTTGAAAGTGGTTGGCGTAAGAAGTAGCACTTGCTCCCTCCACACAACCGCCACCAAAAGGGCAGGTACGAGAAAGAAGGCGAAAGAAGTAGCACTTGTTCTCTCCCCTCCCATTGCCCCTCCACCGCCGCTCAACATAACGACAGCACCAAAAGTGACTACAGCCTTCGACCCAGACCACCACCCTCAAACCCTGCCGGTCTCGGCCAGAAGAGAACAAGAAGAGGGAGAAGAGGCGCCGGCACTACAAGAACCTGAAAAAAAGAAGCCGAAGTTGAAGGTGGTTGGCGTTCGTTTTTTGGACCCGGATGCTACGGAATCTTCCAGTGATGATGATTATACTCCACCAATTACTAATGGTCGTAAACGAAAAGAAGTTGAGATCGTTCACGAGATAAAATTACTAAGGAAAAACCCTATTTCAAAAACAAGAAGGAAGATAATAAAAGATCAGAAAAATGAGAAAGAACTTGTTGGTGAGAAAATCGTCATTAAGAAAGAAATTGGCTCGTCTTCATGTGGTGAAAAGGTAAAAGAATCATCGTCGACTTCATCAACGGCGGGTAAAAAGAAGACTACGGAGACGAAGAAGAAGAAGAAGACGACGGAGGTTGTTGATGTTTTGTGGGAAATTCCAGGGGAGATTCCCGACCTGGATTTACTGGAAAGAGAGAAAGATTGGCTTTTGTATAGGTTCTTTGACGGAGTTCCCGAATACTGTGAGGACATTCCGCCGGAGGTGAAGGTGATTAGATAACCTAAATTACTTTAATTTTTAAGTTTCTTTTTATTCAACTTTTAACAGTAGATGTATGTAGCTGGGTCTACCACGACGATAACAAACTCTTGTAATTAATTAATTTTTATGAATTCTGATGAATATTAAAATTATTTCGTGAGATGCATTCAGGGTTCTTATGGATTTAGGGTTCGTAACCAAGTGAAGGCTTGTAGCTGGTTATGCTATAATGATGATCATGTATGTGATTGGGTTTTGAATTCCATTGTATATGTTCTGAATATTAATTGTGATTATCTTAGGAATAATGAGTTTTTTTCTTCCTTTTCTTGCAACAATATTATGTATCGACTCTTGATTTTAACTTTAATCACGTGATGAGTGCTACAGAAACATGATATCTATTTCCTTTGCATTCAAAAATCCGTCCAATTGTTTGGGATGGAAATGAAATTTGATAAAATAACCAAATTTTTCATGATTTATATTCACAATCACATTGTACAAATTAAACATATTTTCTCTTGGTGGGAAATATGTAAAAACTAAACAATGTCTAAGACTTCATCCGTAAGTCCTCAATCAAGCTTGAGATGGAATAGTCTCCTCTCCCCCTATACTTGAAAAAGAAAAAAGAAAAAAAAAATCCAAGAACTTGTTTAGAAGTACTTTTATAATAACTAAGAAGCACCATATTTTGTGCTTCTTCGAAAAAAATACTTAAAGTTCTTTTGGAACCTAAAATCAATTTTACCAATAACAATTTTAATCTTTTAAAAATATTTCCAAACGAGCCTATCGAAATTTCAGTGCAATTGTTATTTGATGAGAATCAGAATGTCTTTAGCCATGACCCTTTTTGAATTGGATTTTACGCCAAATCCAACAATCACGGTCCAACCAAACCAAACCAACAAAAATCAGCCCAATCGTTTCAGCCCAGAAACATAATCCGGTTCAGGATAATTCCACCCCAGATGGAATATGGTACTCCGAACATCCAAACAGACGGCTCCATACTCCATTGCAGTAAAGCTCGAAAGACCCGTGAAATCCTCACTCCGTTTCGGAGCTCTCGTGCTTCCCTCTCTTCGCTCACAGAGTAATCAAAGGTACCAAACCCTAAATACTTTCATGTAATCTACACATACACAAGCACTGAAATCAAATCATTGAAATTTGCATACTTTCTGTTTGGTTGCCGGGAAAACGTGGGAAAATATGAAAAATGAAGACTTTGTGCAATGTAATTCCAACTGATTGGAACAGAATGCAGGCAAACATTTACTGTAATTGAACTCGACGCCAGTTAATTACTTGAACTAACGTTTTGATTTTTTTTTCCACCCATTTTCCTTCAATTTTAGGCTGCCAAGCAGAAGATTATTAATTTATTAGGTTAATTTTTTTCTGTAATTGTTGTTTTTACACTTGTTGCATTTTGATCACGTAATTTACACGGAGAAATGTGATAAGATGCAGTGCACTAACTAAGCTCAAAACAGTTAGTTATGTGTAATTTATTTACTTTTTCCTAAATTTGTTTTTGGAAATAATCTTTTAGAAACCGAATTGTTCTTAAGTTCAATTTGATCTCAGATGCTATCTTTCGTTCTTTAGCTTGATGCAATAAATGCTTCATTTTGATCTCAGATTTGAGTTTGGATATCATGATGTGGTTATTTTCATCGAATTTTGGATAGAGAAATGATTTCCGTACTCCCCTTAAAACAATTCGAAGGAGTGTGGGGAGGGAAAAAGGGAGTTGCGGAAATCATTTCCCTTGGATAGAACTTTTGAAGTTATTTTGTATATACCAAATTACTTCTACCAGATCTGCCAAACTATTGAACTTAGTGTAATTCACCAAAGAGGGGTTGGGGACGGGGGGATGGTTTTTTATGGTTATGATGAAATGTCATTTTGTAGGGAGGAAATGAGCAACCAAAACCCATCAAGTGGTGATCGGTTAAGGACAAGTTGGACCCCAGCAATGGAGCGTTATTTTATTGATCTTATGTTAGATCAGGTTCATAGGGGCAATAGATTGGGCCATACATTCAACAAACAAGCTTGGAATGACATGTTGATGATGTTTAATGGCAATTTCGGGACTCCATATGATATGAATACCTTGAAAAGTCATTACACTAGTCTGTGGAGGCAATTTAACGACATAAAGAAACTTCTTGATCAGAATGGATTTTCATGGGATAACACTCGGCAAATGGTGATTGCAGATAAATATGCTTGGGATGCCTATGTCAAGGTGCGCTGCTTACTTTATATGTACTTCTGAATTTTGTCCAATTGTGAAAAAATTTAATTAAAATAATGTCCATGCAGGTTCACCCAGATGCTCAGGTCTACAGAAACAAAGCTCTGATGACCTTCAATGATTTGTGTTTGATATATGCACATACGCAAGCAGATGGAAGATACAGCCTTTCAAGTCATGATATAGATTTTGATGACGAAATTCAGGGGATGATTGATGGTGTGTCTCTAAATCCTTTAACGACATACAGGATTGATACATTTTTTCATACGCACTGAAGTTTATTATTATAGTTTTAGTTTGTAATGGTTTTGTAAAGTGCAGTCAGTACTTATGTTTGGCATTTAAGTCGTATCATTTTATTACAGAGAGTAATCATAAATCAGGGTCATACAAAATACCCAAAAGTAAATGCTTTATGAATAATCAGAAGATAGATGGAACTCTATCCTCTCTAGTAGTAACTTTAGTTGAGTTAAAGAAAAAAGCCCTTCCGTCTTAGTATTCCACATTCACAAGCATTATCTGTTATTGATGAGTAAAATTTTCTTTTACTTATTGTACCAAAAAAAAATCTGTTTTCTTGTTCCAATTTTCGACAAGGCCTTTTCTCAGTTATTTGGGGTAAGCTACAAGAATCTTGATCCTACAATCAATTCTCTTCGGGACCATTATTTATTTGCTTATTTATTTTGTTTTTATGGTTTAAAGGTGCTGGAATGATTAGCCCTACCCCTGCAAGTAAAGTGAAAAGAAATGCAGATTGGAAACCAGCCATGGACGAATTTTTTCTGAATCTGATGCTGGACCAACTTGAAAAAGGCAGTAAAATGAATAATACGTTCACAAAACAAGCTTGGAAAGACATGGTCACGTTGTTCAAAAAAAAGTTTGGTTCTCAATATCAAACAAGGTTCTTGAAACAGCTTCATAAGAAACTGTTGAAGTACTATACTGATGTTAGAAGCTTACTTGCCAGAAAAGGATTTTATTGGGACACAAATCGACAAATGATTGTGGCTGATGATGATGTTTGGTGAAATTATATCCAGGTATTGTGCCTTCTATTTAATAGCATCCAGTTGTATACATTTTTACACGTCTTGTTGCTGATGTAGGCACTTCCAGTTGTATGATTTTTTACACTTGTTGCTGATGTAGGCACTTCCAGATGCAGTGTATATAGGAAGAAGCCCTTGCTGAACTATCAGGATTTGAACTCGATATATGCCAGTGAAATCAGCAATGGACTCCTTAATCATTTGGATCAAGGTACAAATTCTGGAGATGAATCTTACAGTGGGGGACTGGAGAGAATTAAGAATTTCGGTTATATAATGGTTTAGTTTCTGTAAAACTTGTAACACTGGTTGTTTAACCGAAAAAGAAAAAAGTAGCAATGTCAGTTTGTCTTTGTATGGAAAAAGTAATAATTGACTCTGATTTTGACCGAATGGAACACACATAAGAGTGTAAACTGTGTTTAAGAAGTAACGTGTTGAAATTGTAAAGAGTGTATATTCGCACATATTACTCAGGAAAAAAAATCATGTTGAAAGCTGTGTTAAATGAATGAATTATTCAACAGTTACGTCTACTAATGGGTTCTATTAATCATGTAGATGAAGAAGAAAGGGAGGGCCAATCCTTTTCTTTTTCTGGTAATGGTCATTTGGCTTCCTTCGAGGATCTTGACAGTGAAGGCCTAGATTTTATGACAGGTGCCTTTCTTTTTCAACACTGAATGTTAGCATAATCTGTGCTGAAACTTATGACGAGTAAAATCTAAAGTTATGATATTTGCAGGGAGTAAAACGAGTAGAAATGCGTCCTTAAACAGCTCGAGCTAGTCTGATGATAGGCACCTCTTGTGTTTCATTAACCAGTACCATTTAGGCTGTACTTTCTTTCCTTAATAGTAAATAATCAGTCCACCATGATGACGTATTTTTGGAGAGCCTTGTTTCCATGCAGACAATTCATCTTGCTATGTGACCTCTTTTTTTTGGTATAATTCTTATCGGTTGAGGATTCCAATTTTCCATCATAAATGTTTCTCTGATTTTTCATGATCATTTTCCATATTCAGGTCTCCTAAATCCATACAATATAACTCTGAATTCAAAATTTTATAGAGTGGGTTTACAACCTGTGAATTGTTTATGCATGTTTGCAATCATCTGTTAAAATGTAATTGCAAGTGCATTTAATTGCAACATTTTGGTGGATAGACGGAGAAGACATTCAGAGCCATGGACATGACATTTTTGCAAGGAAAGATTGGACACCTCCAATGGATCGTTATCTGATTGACCTTCTTCTGGAGCAACTGCAGAAAGCGAACAAGATTGATTACTCTTTGGACGACCAAGCGTGGGTAGATGTGCTTGTGTTATTCAAGGAAAGATTTGGTTTACAATACGACAAAGATCTCTTGAGGAGTCGCTACAAAAGTTTAGAGAAGCAATACCACAATACAAGAGATCTTCTGGATCGGAGAGGGTTTTGGTGGGACGAAACACAGCAAATGGTCACAGCATATGATGATGTTTGGGATGCTTATATTAAGGTGCATAACCTATCTGTTTGAGTCTTAATCATTATTTTCTACAAAGGCTAACATATAGTTTCTGTAGGAATGCCCTGATACGGAAGCGTACAGAACGAAATCCAAGCCAAATTATAATGATTTGTGCTTGATTTATGGAAACTCAAATTTGGGGGAAAGATACAACCAATCAGGTCAAGCCATGGGCTGTAACGGTGATGGTCAGTTTGTGTTTGCTTTTGTCTTTCATTAACCAAGAATTCTTTTAATACATTTTGATGAATCAAAAAAATGAACCTTTTCCTTGTACATGTATTGTTGTTCATTTCAAAACCAGCCAATTGTAATTATAGCTATCACCGGAGAACTGATTGGACACCTCCAATGGACCGATATTTCATTGATCTAATGTTAGAGCAAGTTCGCAACGGAAGTATGGTTAACCAAAAATTCAGTAAACTAGCCTGGACTGATATGGTTTCTAAGTTCAGGGCACAATTTGGTTCCCAGCATGACAAAGATGTCTTGAAAAGTGCTTTGCGGTAGCTTTTGGGAAGTCGTTTTGTGGTGGTAGCTTTTGGAAGTCGTTTTGTGGTGGTAGCTTTTGGAGTAACCCAATTTCTTTGAAGAAAAAGAAGATTGTAAATGATTTGGTCGAACACACACACTCTCTCTCTCTCTCTCTCTCCCCCTCCTCTTAGATTCTATTGATTTGTTTTCTTGCCTATTTCCACTTTTCTCAAATTCTATTGATTTGTTTTCTTGCCTATTTCCACGTTTCTCAAAACATGCGATTGCTACTTTCTCTCTCTTCTTAAATTCTATTGGTTCTTGCCTATTTCCACTTTTCTCATTACGTGCACTTGCTACTCTCTCTCTGCTAGCAAAGCCCTAACATATTTCCACTTTTCTCACTACATGCACTTGCTACTCTCTCCCTCTCCCTCTCTCTCCCTCTCTCTCTCCTCTTAGATTACTACTCTCTCCCTCTCCCTCTCTCTCCCTCTCCCTCTCTCTCTCTTTCTCTCTCCTCTTAGATTACAATCTCTATAAATTTGTTTTCTTGCCCATTCCTACTTTTCTCACTGCATGCACTTGCTACACTCTCTCTCTATCTCTCTCTCTCTCTCTCTCTCTCTCTCCTCTTAGATTACAATCTCTATAAATTTGTTTTCTTGCCCATTCCCACTTTTCTCACTACATGCACTTGCTACTCTCTCTCTGTGCTAGCACAGCCCTAACATTTCCAGATGGTTTCCTTTGTGGGCAAGGAATTCAACCCATTCCTGGTTGGATTTGGAAACCCTTAATCCCTAATTTTCTCTCTCCTTAATCCCTTTTTTAAATTAAACCACGGATTTGGGGAGGGACTTCCATCTTTCATCGTAGATTACAATCTCTATAAATATACATATACAGTCGTTTTCTTGCCCATTTCCACTTTTCTCATTACCTGCACTTGCTACTCTATCTCTAGCCACTTTCTTTCTCTCGTACTCCGGACTCATGGAAGGTTCAAGAAACTCGAGTTCCAGAAAGCAAAAAACGAGGGAGATGCCGAGAAGTCAAGTCGTGCTTGCTCTCCCCGCTCCCAGTGTCCCTTTTCCGCCGCATCTCAGCACCACCACCACCAAAATGGCAGGCAGTAGAGAGAAGCCGAAAAAAGTAGTGCTTGCTCCACCGCCGCTCCACACCACCACCAAAAGGGCAGGCAGGAGAGAGAAACCAAAAGTAGTGATTGATCAATGCGCTCTCAATGCATCTCCATCGCTCCTCCACACCACCGCCACCAAAAGGGCAGGTACGAGAAAGAAGGCGAAAGAAGTAGCACTTGCTCTCTCCCCTCCCATTGCCCCTCCACCGCCGCTCAACATAACGACTGCACCAAAAGTGACTACAGTCTTCAACCCAGACCACCACCCTCAAACCCTGCCGGTCTCGGCCAGAAGAGAACAAGAAGAGGGAGCAGCAGCGCCGGCACTACAAGAACCTGAAAAAAAGAAGCCGAAGTTGAAGGTGGTTGGCGTTCGTTTTTTGGACCTGGATGCCATGAAATCTTCCAGTGATGATGATTATACTCCACCAGTTACTAATGGTCGTAAACGAAAAGAAGTTGAGATCGTTCACGAGATGAAGGTACTGGGGAAAAACCCTATTTCAAAGAGGTGTAAGACGCAAGAAACGACTACAAAAACAAGAAGGAAGATAATAAAAGATCAGAAAAATGATGAAGAACTTGTTCGCGAGAAGATCGTCATTAAGAAAGAAATTGGCTCGTCTTCTTGTGGTGAAAAGGTAAGCAAATCATCGTCGACTTCATCAACGGCGGGTAAAAAGAAGACTAAGACCAAGGGGAAGAAGAAAAAGGAGACGAAGAAGAAGAAGAAGATGACGGAGGTTGTTGATGTTTTGTGGGAAATTCCTGGGGAGATTCCCGACCTGGATTTACTGGAAAGAGAGAAAGATCGGCTTTTGTATAGGTTCTTTGATGGAGTTCCCGAATACTGTGAGGACATACCGCCGGAGGTGAAGGTGACTAGATAACCTAAATTACTTTAATTTTAAAAAGTTTCTTTTTATTCACCTTTTAACAGTAGATGTATGTAGCTGGATCTGCCACGACGATCACAAACTCTTGTAATTAATTAATTTTGGATCCCTTACCTACTTTTTCCACACCTGTTCATATTTTTTAATACTTAATTGGTATCCTACTATTTAATCTTTCATATATACCCCTTCGTATTTAATCTTTCATTAAATAGTAGAATACCAATTAAGTATTAAAAAATAGGGATGGGTGTGGGAAAAGTAGTTAAGGATGTGAAAATTACAACCCTTAATTTTTACAAATTCTGATGAATATTTAAAATTATTTCGTGAGATGCATTCAGGGTTCTTATGGATTTAGGGTTCGTAACCAAGTGAAGGCTTGTAGCTGGTTATGCTATAATGATCATGTATTTAATTGGGTTTTGAATTACATTGTATATGTTCTGAATATTAATTGTTATTATCTTATGAATAATGAGTTTTTTTTTTCTTTTTTTGCAACAATATTATGTCTCAACTTTTGAGTTTAACTTTAATCACGTGATGAGTGCTATAGAAACATGATATCTATTTCCGTTGCATTCAAAAATCCATCCAACTGTTTGGGATGGAAATGAAATTTGATAAAATAGCCAAAATTTTCATGATTTATACTCACAATCACATCGTACAAATTAAACATATTTTCTCTCAGTGAGAAATCTGTAAAAACTAAACAATGTCTAAGACTTCATCTATAAGTCCTCAATAAAGCTTGAGATGGAATAGTCTCCTCTCCCCCTATACTTGAAAAAAAAAAAAATCTAAAAACTCATTTGGAAATGCTTATAACTAAGAAGCATTAAATATGATGTTTCTTCCAAAAAACACTTAAAGTTCATTTGGAACCTAAAATCAATTTTACCAATAACAATTATAGTCATTTAAAAATACTTTCAAACGAGCCTATTGAAATTTCAATACAATTGTCATTTGACGCAAACGAGAATGTCTTTAGCCATGACCCTCTTTTGAATTGGATTTTAGGCCGAATCCAACAATCACGGTCCAACCAAACCAAACCAACAAAAATCAGCCCAATCGTTTCAGCCCAGAAACATAATCCGGTTCAGGATAATTCCACCCAGATCGAATATGATACTCCGAGCATCATAACTGACGGCTCCATACTCGATTGCACTAAAGCTCGAAATACCCGTGAAATCCTCACTCCGTTTCGGAGCTCTCGTGCTTCCCTCTCTTCGCTCACAGAGTAATCAAAGGTACCAAACCCTAAATCCTTTCATGTAATATACACATACACACATGCACGCACTGAAATCAAATCATTGAAATTTGCTTACTGTCTGTTTGGTTGCCGGGAAAACGTGGGAAAATATGAAAAATTAAGACTTTGAGCAATGTAATTCCAACTGTTTGGAACAGAATGCAGGCAAACATTTACTGTAATTGAACTCGAGGCCAGTTAATTACTTGAACTAAAGTTTTGATTTTTTTTTTCCACCCAATTTCCTTCAATTTTAGGCTGCCAAACGCAAGATTATTAATTTATTAGGTTAAATTTTTGCTGTAATTGTTGTTTTTACACTTGTTGCATTTTGATCACGTAATTTACACGGGGAAATGTGATAAGATGCAGTGCACTAACTAAGCTCAAAACAGTTAGTTATGTGTAATTAAATTTACTTTTCCTAAATTTGTTTTTGGAAATAATCTTTCTTTAGAAACCGAATCGTTCTTAAGTTCAATTTTATCTCAGATGCTATCTTTCGTTCTTTAGCTCAATGCATTAAATGCTTCATTTTGATCTCTGATTTGAGTTTGAATATCATGATGTGGTTGTTTTCATCGAATTTTGGATAGAGAAATGATTTCCACACTCCCCTTAAACAATTCAAAGGAGTGCAGGGAGGGAAAAAGGGAGTTGCGGAAATCATTTCCCTTGGAGAGGACTTTTGAAGTTATTTTTTATATAAACAAATTACTTCTACCAGAACTGCTACACTATTGAACTTAGTGTAATTCATCGAAAGAGGGGTTGGGGACGGGGGATGGTTTCTTATGATTATGATGAAATGTCATTTTGTAGGGAGGAAATGAGCAACCAAAACCCGATAAGTGGTGATCGGTTAAGGACAAGTTGGACCCCAGCAATGGAACGTTATTTTATTGATCTTATGTTAGATCAGGTTCATAGGGGCAATAGATTGGGCCATACATTCAACAAACAAGCTTGGAATGACATGTTGATGATGTTTAATGGCAATTTCGGGACTCCATATGATATGAATACCTTGAAAAGTCATTACACTAGTCTGTGGAGGCAATTCAACGACATAAAGAACCTTCTTGATCAGAATGGATTTTCGTGGGATAACACTCGGCAAATGGTGATTGCAGATAAATATACTTGGGATGCTTATGTCAAGGTGCGCTGCTTACTTTATACGTACTTCTGAATTTTGTCCAATTATGAAAAAATTTAATTAAAATAATGTCCATGCAGGTTCACCCAGATGTTCAGGTCTACAGAAACAAGGCTCTGATGACCTTCAATGATTTGTGTTTGATATATGCACATACGCAAGCAGATGGAAGATACAGCCTTTCAAGTCATGATATAGATTTTGATGACGAAATTCAGGGGATGATTGATGGTGTGTCTCTAAATCCTTTAACGACATACAGGATTGGTACATTTTTTCATACGCACTGAAATTTATTATTATACTTTTAGTTTGTAATGGTTTTGTAATGTGCAGTCAGTACTTATGTTTGTCATTTAAGTCGTATCATTTTATTACAGAGAGTAATCATAAATCAGGGTCATACAAAATACCTAAAAGTAAATGCTTTATGAATAATCAGAAGATAGATGGAACTCTATCCTCTCTAGTAGTAACTTTAGTTGAGTTAAAGAAAAAAACCCTTCCGTCTTAGTATTCCACATTCACAAGCATTATCTGTTCGTGATGAGTAAAATTTTCTTTTACTTATTGTACCAAAAAAAATCTTTTTTCTTGTTCCAATTTTCGACAAGGCCTTTTCTCAATTATTTGGGGTAAGCTACAAGAATCTTGATCCTACAATCAATTCTCTTCGGGACCATTTTTTATTTGCTTATTTATTTTGTTTTTATGGTTTAAAGGTGCTGGAGTGATTAGCCCTACCCCTGCTAGTAAAGTGAAAAGAAATGCAGATTGGAAACCAGCCATGGATGAATTTTTTCTGAATCTGATGCTGGACCAACTTGAAAAAGGCAGTAAAATGAGTAATACGTTCACAAAACAAGCTTGGAAAGACATGGTCACGTTATTCAAAAAAAAGTTTGGTTCTCACTATCAAACAAGGTTCTTGAAACAGCTTCATAAGAAACTGTTGAAGTACTATTCTGATGTTAGAAGCATACTTGCCAGAAAAGGATTTTATTGGGACACAAATCGACAAATGATTGTGGCTGATGATGATGTTTGGGGAAATTATATCCAGGTATTGTGCCTTCTATTTAATAGCATCCAGTTGTATACATTGTTACACGTCTTGTTGCTGATGTAGGCACTTCCAGTTGTATGATTTTTTACACTTGTTGCTGATGTAGGCACTTCCAGATGCACGTGTATATAGGAAGAAACCCTTGCTGAACTATCAGGATTTGAACTCGATATATGCCAGTGAAATTAGCAATGGACTCCTTAATCATTTGGATCAAGGTACAAATTCTAGAGATGAATCTTACAGTGGGGGACTGGAGAGAATTAAGAATTTCGGTTATATAATGGTTTAGTTTCTGTAAAACTTGTAACGCTGGTTGTTTAACCGAAAAAGAAAAAAGTAGCAATATCAGTTTGTCTTCGTATGGAAAAAGTAATAATTGACTCTGCTTTTTACCGAATGGAACACACATAAGAGTGTAAACTGTGTTTAAGAAGTAACGTGTTGAAATTGTAAAGAGTGTATATTCGCACATATTACTCAGAAAAAAAAATCATGTTAAAAGCTGTGTTAAATGAATGAATTATTCAACAGTTATGTCTACTAATGGGTTCTATTAATCATGTAGATGAAGAAGAAAGGGAGGGCCAATCCTTTTCTTTTTCTGGTAATGGTCATTTGGCTTCCTTTGAGGATCTTGACAGTGAAGGCCTAGATTTTATGACAGGTGTATTTCTTGTTCAACACTGAATGTTAGAATAATCTGTGCTGAACCTTATGACGAGTAAACTCTAAAGTTATGATATTTGCAGGGAGTAAAACGAGTAGAAACGCGTCCTTAAACAGCTCGAGCTAATCTGATAATAGGCGCCTCTTGTGTTTCATTAACCAGTACCATTTAGGCTGTACTTTCTTTCCTTAATAGTAAATAATCAGTCCACCACGATGACGTATTTTTGGAGAGCCTTGTTTCCATGCAGACAATTCATCTTGCTATGTGACCTCTTTTTTTGGTATAATTCTTATCGGTTGAGGATTCCAATTTTCCATCATAAATGTTTCTCTGATTTTTGATAATCATTTTCCATATTCAGGTCTCCTAAATCCATACCATATAACTCTGAATTCAAAATTGTCTAGAGTGGGTTTACAACCCGTGAATTATTTGTGCATGTTTGCAATCATCTGTTAAAATGTTATTGCAAGTGCATTTAATTGCAACATTTTGGTGGATAGACGGAGAAGACATTCAGAGCCATGGAAATGACATTTTTTCAAGGAAAGATTGGACACCTCCAATGGATCGTTATCTGATTGACCTTCTTCTGGAGCAACTGCAGAAAGCGAACAAGATTGATTACTCTTTGGACGACCAAGCGTGGGTAGATGTGCTTGTGTTATTCAAGGAAAGATTTGGTTTACAATACGACAAAGATCTCTTGAGGAGTCGCTACAAAAGTTTAGAGAAGCAATACCACGATACAAAAGATCTTCTGGATCGGAGAGGGTTTTGGTGGGACGAAACACAGCAAATGGTCACAGCATATGATGATGTTTGGGATGCTTATATTAAGGTGCCTAACCTATCTGTTTGAGTCTTAATCATTATTTTCTACAAAGGCTAACATATAGTTTCTGTAGGAATGCCCTGATACGGAAGCGTACAGAACGAAATCCAAGCCAAATTATAATGATTTGTGCTTGATTTATGGAAACTCAAATTTGGGGGAAAGATACAACCAATCAGGTCAAGCCATGGGCTGTAACGGTGATGGTCAGTTTGTGTTTGCTTTTGTCTTTCATTAACCATGAATTCTTTTAATATATTTTGATGAATCAGAAAAATGAACCTTTTCCTTATACATGTATTGTTGTTCATTTCAAAACCAGCCAATTATAACCATAGCTATCACCGGAGAACTGATTGGACACCTCCAATGGACCGATATTTCATTGATCTAATATTAGAGCAAGTTCGCAACGGAAGTATGGTTAACCAAAAATTCAGTAAACTAGCCTGGACTGATATGGTTTCTAAGTTCAGAGCACAGTTTGGTTCCCAGCATGACAAAGATGTCTTAAAAAGTCGTTTTGTGAATTTGAGGAAACGATTCAATGACATGAAAACTCTACTTGACCAGAGTGGGTTTACTTGGGATGAAATGCAGCAGAGGATAACTGCTGATGGTGATCTTTGGGATGCTCATGTCAAGGTTCGTCTTTGATTGATTTGTTGATTGAAAAGAATTGTAGGTCTATAACAGGCTAGCAGCTTACATGTACTTGTGCAGGTGCGCCCTGATGCACGATCATACCGCAATAGAACCCTACCAAATTTCAATGATTTGTGCTTGATATATGGAAATGAAGACAGTCTTAAAAGGGAGAGTTCATCTATTCACTCTATGGATGCCGAGGATGATGATCCGAGAGTTAATGTTGGTACGTGGCCCCTGCTCTCTCTCCATAAAACTGGTTTTACATTCAATGAAAACCTTGGGCCTGGATGATTGTGTCATTCAGTAAAAATTTGGACGTTGTCGTGACAGATTTTCTGAAAAATCAGTTTCTCATCTTGATGCAAGAGTATGTCAGAATTTTCTCAATAGCAACCATTTTGCAGGGGATGAAACTCAGCAGACAATATTCGCAGAAGTTGACAATGTCTGGGACGCTTATGTGAAGGTACATGTTTTTCTCGCTAACTGCTGCCCAGGACAAAAGGAGTTTCCCTGTTCTAAATTTCTAGTACTAATTACACCCTCCTCAACATTTCATGGAGGAACAGTATGATGCATTGCATGCGCATGTTTTGTATGTGCGAGTGTTTTGAGTGTTGAATGATTCATGAGTAGCTTCGGGCTCAGGAGAGACCTACCCTATTTGGTGACGTTATTAACGTGTCTATCTTTCATGTCAATGTTTTATTTTTTCAGGATCACCCATATCAACCTGCATATGGAAATAGCATCTTGGACTACAATGATTCGACTATGATAAATGGCAATGGAGTCGCTGATGGAAGATCAAGTTATTTGAGTACGGAAATGGGGAAGACGGGATTTGATATGACCTTTGGTGGCTTGCAATCCCGAACCATGGAATATGAAACATCGATTCAGCGAAAGAAGCGAAAGCCAACAGCTTCATCTACCTCAGCTAGTAAGAGAGTTCAAAGAACCATCAAGGAGGAGGTGCAAGAAACCTTAGATGAGAAACCACAGAGAGTAAACGGGTTTGTCGGCAATGAAGAGGACAAAGACTGCTGCTCGATAGAACGCATTGTTGATGCACTTGAAACGGTACCTGACATGAATGATGAGCTCTTCTTGGAAGCTTCTCAGATTCTAGAAGACGAGAGGAAGGCGAAGATGTTTGTGGCTATGGATGTAACAGCCCGACAGAAATGGTTATTCAGAAAACTCCGCCGGTAGATCACAGGAACTCATGCCTTGTGTTTTTTGTTCGTGTAAATTAGACACAGATGAGCTTGTGTATATTCAATTTGGTAGCCTTGTTTCTCTCTCTCTCTCTCTCTCTCTCTCTCTCCACAATCCATTTGCCACCTATCAAATGATCAAAATTACCCGTATCAAATAGAAAGAAAGTTACTGTTTCACCCAAAAATTGTTACTGTTTGTTCCTCTCTGAATCTTTTCCATTAAATTATTATTTTTTGAGTGAGTATTTCTTGGTTCATCTCCTGCTCAAAATTCTTTGTTTTTGATTTATCGATTTTTGTATTTATGATTAGAACCATTTATATTATAAATCATTCTATAAACAATGTCTGCTAAAAATCAATTTAAAAACTAAAGTTGTTCAGTTATCAAATTGTATAAGGATAGATGGATAGAAATGGTAAAAATTTTACTACTCGTCTATCTATTGACTTTAATTTCAATTCATTTTTTAAAGATGATATTTACATAGTTTTATAATATGAACTGTTCGAATTAAACTATAAAATTCTATGAATCAGACACAAAGTATTTTGAGTAGGGAAAGGGATCGGATCCCTTCTATCAAGTCCACAAATCTGAACTCTTGAAATTTGATCCAACAGCTAAAAACAGGAGTCATTATAAAAATTATAATAATTTTAACTGTTAGATCAAATTTCAAAGATCTGAATTGGTGAAAGAGATCCGGGAAAACCCTTTCCTTTGAGCAGAAACTCAAACCCAAAATTGCTAATAATTCTATTCAATTCAGTGAACTGCGTGTGACCAAGGCAGATGGACAAAAGTCGGATCCGAATTCTGAAATCACAGAGACAAACACTCACTCTCTCTGAAAACTTGACAGAAAGATTGGAGCTTTTTGCTTGCTAAATGGCATGGCCATCTCTCTCTCCTCCTCTTTCAAAACCTGCATTCTCTCACTCTCTCTCCTCTCCTTCTTCCTCTTCTTCCTCCTCACAACCCCAACTCCCAATTCCCCAAACTACCCTTACCCATCTCCCATAACCCTCCACAGGTCCCTCATCGCCACCGCAGCAAAAACCCCACCTTGCTCCTCCGCCGCCGTAACCCACTCCGATGGCCTCTTCAACTACCTCTACCTCCACTTCTGCCTCTTCCGCCAAAACCCATTTCTTTCTCTCTCCTCCCTCTCTCTCATCCTCCTCCTCCTCTTCTACATCCTCATCAAAACAGCCCAGGATCACTTCTCTCTCGTCACCACCAAGCTCGTTTTTGCCCTCGATTTGACCCCCAGCATGGCCGCCGTCACCCTCCTCGCGCTCGGAAACGGCGCCCCTGACGTCTTTGCCTCGGTCGCGGCGGTCCGGACGGGGCAGTACCGAACCGGGTTCGGCGCGATTCTGTCCGCCGGCACTTTCGTGTCGGCGTTCGTGGTGGGGTTTGTGGCGATTTACGCCGCGCCCTTTCCGCTCAAGCCGGCGCCGTTTGTGAGGGACGTGATGTTTTATCTGACGGCGGCGCTGTTCTTGTTCTATGTGTATCTGAGCGCCGAGATTTATCTGTGGCAAGCGGTCGGGTTTGTTGGGTTTTACTTATTTTTTGTTGGGTTGGTGTTTTGGATGGATTTGGGAATGGGAGGAGGAGGAAAGGAGAGCAGAGTTGAGGCGGGCTCGGTCGGAGACATTGAAATTCAGAGGGGTTTGGTTGCACCAGATTCCAGGATCGGACATGTTTTGGAGAGTTCAGAGGATCGGAAGGGGAGTTTCGGAGTTGGGAGAGCTCTTGGAATGGTATGTTTTCGGATAAATTTGCGTTCTTTTTTGTGCTTGTTCTGCTAAACTTTGGGTACATTGTGTGTTGTATGCAATTTATCTGTTTCTATGTTTGGTTTTCATTCAATGCAATGCTCTGATGGATAGTTGTTACACTTCTAGTATTAGTGGCAATGGTTGTTAAAGGTTTCGAGAATTAGATAAAACACTCCGCTTGTTGATTGGTTAGTAATGTAATGCTCTGAGAAAATTTACTTGATGGAGGAATATAGGTTGTGTTGAATGAAATCAATGCAGCTTGTTAATTAGCTACACAGTTTGAATTTCTATGTGCTAGTTATGGTTTCCTTCTTGAGTATTTCTCACATTGGAACAAACAGTTTCGGTAGCTGAATGTAGGTGAAAGTTTCGAACTTCTTATGGATTCACTTTGTAGAAGCATATAATAATTGGGAAACGAAATGATAATTTGGATTGTATAGGCGTGCCATTTAATTTAGTTCTGAATTTACTAGGAATCATTTTTTTTTCGGTATGCTTCATCTCGAGGTCTATAGGATTTAATGAACCTTTGATATAGTCGATGATAAATCCGATCTCATAGCCCTGGTCAGATGTAGCTTCTCCTTGTCTTAGTAGAGGAATATGGCTAAGTTGTAGGTGTGCCTAAAATCCTTGAGATTAAAAATTTGGGCATGTGAAATGGATGACATTGGTGAGAAGTGGAGATCTTCGAGAGTTGGATATCACGTGTGTGTGTGTGTGTATATATATATATATATATATATATCAACGTCAATGCACATAAGTAGAAAAGCTTATTCTTTGAGCGAGGATAACTTGGACAAGAGAATTCTTGACGTGTGATATTAATTGTAGAAGCATGCGCATGGAGTTTCACTGTGTCTTGGCATAAGCTGCATATTTCCTTATGAAATCTCTTTTAAATCCTGAACTGGGAAAAACCCAAAAAGCATGTAATTTATATTCTGAATTTCTGATAGAGCTCGCTTTTCCTGTGTACAATTTTGTCGGCTAACTTTCTTCTTTGGAAATTTGCACTAGTTAACTCTCTTTATTTCTTATACAGATCTCGAGAGCATGGGAGATTCCCGTCTCATTTCTTTTGAAGCTCACAATTCCCCAAGCTTCACCTTCCGAATGGAGCAGATTCTACATGTCAGCCAATATTGCTCTTTGCCCTCTCGCGCTGCTATATGCTTGCAACTCATTCATGCCATTTAATCACCCCGTTGTCTTTCTCCTTTCAAACACCCATTTGCCCCTATGGCTTGTAATCCTCTTGGCAAGCTCCTCCCTCGCACTTCTTCATTATGCAGTAGAAAAAGAGCCCCCCAAAACCGAGCAACTGCCTGTATTGCTTATAGCATTTGTTATGAGTGTCTTTTGGATATCCACGACTGCTGGTGAATTGCTGAACTGCCTCGCTGCACTCGGAACACTTCTAGAGTTGCCGCCTGCTCTTCTTGGGCTCACAGTTCTTGCATGGGGAAATTCAGTTGGGGATCTTGTTGCTGATGTTGCAGTTGCCAAGGCTGGCCACCCTGCAATGGCCATGGCTGGATGTTTTGCTGGGCCAATGTTTAACATGCTCATTGGACTTGGAACTGCCTTGGTTATACAGACATATGATGTCTATCCCGAGGCATACGAGCTTCAGTTCCATGTGGGTATAGTGATTGCATTTGTTTTCTTGCTTCTGAGCCTGATGGGGTCTCTATTGGTCATTACATGGTGCAGATTTCGGGTGCCTAGGTTCTGGGGATTCTGTCTTGTTGGTCTCTATGTTGTTTTTATGGCAGTTAGTTTGGTAATCGCCAAATTTACAGGGTGATTCCAAGTTCATTTATATTGGATCCTCCATTGGAAAAATACAACAAACCAGGGAAGATATGGAGCTACCACGTGTAATCTCGAGCTTGATCATGCTAACTCTGACCTGGATGGATTGTGTATATCATACGAGCATCATTCATCGAAAAATTTCGTAAAGAAGTCGTGGATCAAAAGGTACACTGCATTTTGAAGGATCAACAACCCTTTTTCGAGTCTTTCCTGCCTGGATGAAAGCGATCTGCAGCTTATAGGTTCAATTGGTTTTTTGTTTCGACATTTGATAGATGAAATTTTTTCAGACTGCTAGAAGTGTTATGGCATAAAAGGCTTTGGGTAGTGCCGGAATTATGGCTCTTGTACCACTTGTAACATTACTAAATGTGGCAATGGCAATTTACACTCTAAACCAATTGTGTTTGCAAACTGCACAAAGTTGTCTATACGTGTTCATGAACCATCTCAATGCTAAATTCTCTGTTGCAGCCAAGACATAGTTACGCTAATGTCACTCGTCTAATATAATAGATGTTTGACATGTGGTGAATCAATGACGAGAGATTGAGAGAGCATATCTCCAGTTCCGTCATCAATGGGGAAAATATCAAAACAAGCATTTGCGTGAACTATGATTTTTACAACAAAAGTTAAAATGTCCTTGGGTTTGAATTCCCTTGCAAATCAAATTATGTGGGACCAAATGATTAGAATTAAATAAAGGTAACTTTAACAAAAAAATTTCGGTACTATTCACTTTAACGAAAAACTATATTTTTACACTAAAAAATCAATCAAAATACTATTCACTTTACCCTTGATTTTGTCATAATCGTTAAAACTCAAAATTTTCAAATCATTTTCATTAGTTTTCCTTTAAAAAATTGAATGACAGTACAAGATTCACATTAACGTAGGAATGAGATTGAAAGACTTTTATTCAGGTGTGTGTTTGTACTACAAAAATCAAATTGAACAATAATAGAATACGAGAGAAAGCCAAATTTGTCAACTTCTTTCCTATCGTTCCAAAATTGTTAAATAAGGAAGAGAATCCTCACCTAAACTCAGGATGGGGATCATCCTGATCAGCTCATCTGACCGTTGAAATTTAATCTAACGGTTGTAATTATTATAACTTTTAGAATATTCTCCTGTTTGGAGCCGTTGAATTAAATTTGAACGGCCCAGATGGGCTATTCAGGAGGATCCTCTTCTGTTAAATAACATCCCAATTTAATTATTTCCAACTTCCTATAGTAAGGTCGGGATTTTCTCAGGATCCCTTCCATCTAGATCCTTCAATTCTATGCGTTCTTCGATGAGTACTTGTTCCGGTTGCCAACCCACCACATCCAAACCATCGTCTTCCGGTCTCTAGCTGCCCTAAACTAGCACAAAGTCCACCCATATAGAAAGAGAAGAGAGTCGGAAAAGAGAGAATGAGAAGGGGGAAGAAGATGCACATGAAAAAGCCAAATAAAGATGATTAATTCATGACCGTTTGATGTTCGGTTGAAAGAATACGATTGAAAAATCCGAAGAATCTGAATGGAAGGGATCCGTATATTATTCTTTTGAATTAAATATTTCGTAAAAAAACCTCAGGTAAACAAAAATTAAGAAGCCATAGATCTGGTCACAATCAGAGACTCCCGAAAAAGTAGACCGATCCCCTCCACGTATCCATCGGGCACCAAAAGACCAATTGGCCCTAACAGTAAAATGTCAACTTCCACCGAGGGCAAAACCGTCAAATGAAAAAACAAACTCGCATAAAAGTCCAGTATTCTGACAAATGTTAAGTCAGAATCCAACACTTCCTCGCAGCTTTTGTTCTTCCTTTTTTAGGTTTGTGTTCTGAAACATCGTCCACCATTACCAAAAAAAACTATAAAAAAATAATCATATGCCCAAGAATCTTCCACAAATCCTAGGAATTTCTCCGTACGATTAATTTCCCAGGACAGGAAAAAAAAAAAAAATTAATAAAAAAGTTTCAGACTTTCTCTCTCATTGCCCAGATGGATGTTTTCGAGTCTCTTTTTTCTGAAGGAATTTTCGTTTTTTTTTTTTCAGGTGCTCGATAATTTCCAATCCTCTGCAGAAGCAGCGCCCACCGCCTGTTTGATAAAAGGTACCGGAGAAACGCGCACGGCTACCACACACGGTTTTCTGGGTTTGCTCTGCGTTGTGTATATGTGTGTGAGCTTGTGTGTGGTGGGTTGGTCTTAGATTGCCAAATGGGCGATCTTTGTTCCCTCCCCATGTAACATTTTTGTTTTCTGGATGTGGGTTTTGAATTTTCTGCATTTTTGTTGTTGTTATATATCAGAGATCGAATTTTGGTTTTTGTAAACGGTGGGATTCTGTTTTGCATGATTGTTGTTGGTGGAAACTGTTTTTGCCTGATTGCGTGATCATATCTCGAGCGTTTCGACCTCGAATTATAGTTTCCATGGCATTTTATTCTCATTTTTCTGGGTTTTTTTTTCTCTCTTTTTTCTCTTGAACTTATTGTTATTTAATCTGGGGCTGGTACCGTGGTAGAAAACTCTCATTTTTCTACAGATCACAGTATCAAATTAGGTGGATCCTATTTCGAGTAGTAACGAGATGGCGGGATGCGAATCTCGTTGATTTTCTGTAGATGTTTGGTTGCAAGATTGCATTTAGAGACCCCTTCATGCAGTGAATTGATGAATTTTTCTGTTTCTGCTGGAAGGCTAGGCCTGCTTAGTCTGAAAAATGAGGAGATTCGAATGAATGAATATTCTTTGATCCTTGATTGTCTAAAGAGGGAAAACAAAGAACGAGAGGACAAACTGTTTAGATTTATCTGCAACGTAATACAAGATGGATCGGTTGGAATTAATCATTCATTGTGTGTGAAAGGGAGATCTTTTCGTATGTGAGGAGTATATAGTAAGTAACTAGTAGGTTTCTGAAGCAGACACCTTTTCCGTCCTTTGTTTCAATCAGGGCCGATTTGCAAAGTTCAACCAGGATGGATCCGCAAGGGCATCACCAACCCCAATCTATGGGGATGGTAGGTAGTGGAGCTCAGTTGACATACAGTTCTAACCCGTATCAGCATAATCAAATGGTCGGGAGCCCAAATCCGGGGTCAGTTGCCGCAACAGTGGGAGCTATGCAATCCGCTAGTCAATCACCTGGAGCTCAGCTTGCGCAGCACCAGCTTGCTTATCAGCATATCCACCAGCAGCAGCAGCAACAACTTCAGCAGCAGCTGCAAACTTTCTGGACAAATCAGTATCAAGAAATCGACAAGGTGACAGATTTCAAGAACCATAGCCTTCCCCTAGCAAGGATCAAGAAGATTATGAAGGCCGATGAGGATGTGAGAATGATATCAGCCGAGGCACCTGTGATATTTGCCAGGGCATGTGAAATGTTCATATTGGAATTGACATTGCGGTCGTGGAATCACACGGAAGAGAATAAGCGGAGGACACTCCAGAAGAATGACATTGCAGCTGCAATCACAAGGACAGATATCTTTGATTTCTTGGTAGACATTGTGCCAAGAGAGGATCTGAAAGATGAAGTCCTTGCATCGATTCCTAGGGGTACAGTGTCTGTTGGGGGGCCTGATGATGCACTTCCATACTGCTATATGCCGCCTCAGCACGCACCTCAGGTGGGGGATCCCGGGATGATTATGGGTAAGCCTATGATGGATCCGTCTATGTATGCCCAACAGTCTCACCCCTACATGACCCAGCCAATGTGGCAGCAGGCACCGGACCAGCAGCAGTCGCCATCAGATCATTAGCGGGCGCAACATGGAAGCGGAAGAATAGTAAGTTCCCTTGTTTTGTTCTCCAGGCTTGTGACTGAAAGCTGAGAAAAAGCAAAGTGGTGAAGTTTGATGTGTTCAAACTTTGGGAGTCTCTGTAATTATAATGCAATTTCTTATCTTTTATGCTTAACATCTAGCATCTGTCTCGTATACTCTTCGCTGTAAAACAATATCGTCGACGATGATGAAGGTTGCGAACTGATTTTTGTCGACTCTTTTATAGCAAAAGAAGAATTATTATGACTTAGCTTATATGCCGTTTTCGACAATTTAGCTAGTATTTGGTGATGATCATCGTACCTTTCTTGTGATGTAATAAGATCCTGCAGGGTGCAATGGAGCTTTTGATGTCATTTGTTGACTGTTTTTTGCATAAATTTGTATTCCCTTTTGCAAAAATCTGTTTCAATTGATTCATTTGCAGCTCACATAAAGATAGTCCTCATGGTTTCATACCCCCTCCTTCCCGTGCGGAGAGAGAGAGAGAAACAGAGGGGGTATTCATCTCAACCATCCACTTGCCAACTTTGACGAGGATTTGGTACACTGTTGGGCCTAAAAGGGTACCTCGAATTTCTCTATTAAACCGGTCAAACTACTTTACTTGCTGCACAACTTTAGTCCGAATCACTTGAAACACGTAATAAACCGAATTTGAAAATCCGAACATTTGGCGATAGATTAAAATAATCTTGATGTTAATATGTGTTACTCAAAATGAGTACCAACTAGTAATTCATTGAAAATTCACCAAACAAAATATTCCACCGAGGAAGAAAATAGAATAGAAGACAAAAATGATGGATTATTGTCTGTCATCAGCTAGCACAATTCCTTCTTGTGCCTGCGAAGAGACCACCTGCTTTTCGATTCTTCATGATTCCCAACCGTCGTAGGTTGTTTTTCCAACTTCCTAATTACATATAAAATTCAAATAATAATTGTTAATACTTTTACCACAACGAAGTTTTATGAATTTTACTACCAATGCATACTTTCTTTAATTTGAAACTCGCGTTCGGCCGTTGTGCCAACAACTTTATCAATTGTTATACCTATCTGCTGAAGACCTATCTACTTATATACTTTATCAACGACTTTAAAAAAGCCCAAACAAATTTACAAAAAAGTCCAAAAACAATATACACACAGTACAGTAAAAAAAGGTGGGGCTTATTCGATTGCTTCTCAAATTGCTGATATTGTAGAGCGTAGGAAAAATAAGGAGGATAACAAAGTTAAGAACCAGAAACTTTCGGAGTATGCTCAGGAGTGGCGAAGGATCCGTGAGATCCTTGAAGAGGTAGATGCTGGAAAGAAGAAAGGTAACAACTTTAATCTCTTGCTTCTCCTCTGCCTTTTTTCCTTTTCTTTCCGTCTCTTTCTGCTTGCGTAGACGATTCTTGGAAATTTTTGGCACAAAGCTATATGAACTATTGCTGTGATGAGGCTTTCATTTGTGCTTTGTTAAATTCAAAGATTGTGAGAAGAAATTAAGAACGAAGATTGGGCAAACTGTTCAAATCTTGAAATTTGTTTCATCTTTAATCAAACATGAAAGTCATCTTTAAACAAGGCAATTTTAGTAAACTAATTAATTTGAATTCAAATGAATTAGTAAATAATTTATATGAAACGAAAATCATTCTTACTTTAGTACCAGTTAGTTTAATAAATAACTTTAACATGAATCTAATTATTATTCTTACTCATGAATCTAATTATACTTCTTACTCAATCTGATTGCTCTTCAATCTAATTCCTCATCGATTCAATTTTCTCAAGTAAACTAATCATTAGTTGTTTAGTGAATAGTATCGCGAACTTTTTGTTAAAACTCTCAATAAAATAAGCAACACCAACTGCATTAATAATAGCCTCAACAGTAAGCAATCTGTTTACTGTAAGTTAACTTTTATTGACCAAGAAATATATAAATGGGACAGAAAATTTAAGGGAAGTTTTAACGAAGAACTCATGGTACTGTTCATTTTAACGAAAAACTACATTTTTGCACTAAAAAATCAATCATGGTACTATTCACTTTACCCTTTATTTTATCTTTATCATTAAAACTCAAAGTTTTCAAAACATTTTCATTAATTTTTCTAATTTCAAAACTTTGGAATTCGAGTATTCTAAACTCTTGGGTCCAAGTATTCTAAACCTTATGATAGGACCGAGATCTATAACATAACCTCAGCTTTTCCCAACGCTGCCATTGGGTGATCATGTTTTTCTGGAATGCTGGAAATATGGTAGTGCTGGGAAAAGCTGAGATTATATTATATGGTCATCCAATGGGCCAATTGTTTCATACCCACAACAGGCCCATATTCTATAAGCCCAATAATCCACTCTCAAAATCTATTTTCTTTGTTTTTTTTTTTTCCCTTCATGAAAACATAATCAATTTACAAAGGAAAAATCTGAGAAAATACACAGGGAGCGCGAGAGCTAGAGAGAGAGAGTGAGATGGGGGGAGAGGTCTCAGAGAGCTGCGTGGATAGTCTACTGACAGAGATAGTCTCTATGTACTACAATCGGTTATACGCCAACAAGCCCGAGCTCGCCGCCACTGGGATCGACGCTATTGGCTACCAGGTCGGCCACCAGCTCTCCGAGCGGTACACCTTCCCGCACTCCATCCCAACCACCCTGCCCTCTCTAATTGTTCCCTTTATTTCATTGCGATTGAATTGGATTTGTTTGATCTCACAGGTTGTGAGTTTTCAGATCTCAAATGCATATTTTCAAAGTGTTTGATTTCGAAATTTGTTCTCTGTTTTTTTTTTTTTTTTTTTTTTTTTTTTTCCCACCGTTTGTAATGATATGGTAGTGTGTTTGGTTGCTGAGAAAATGTGGGATAGTAATTTGAAGTGTTTGATCTCGATTTTTTTTTTCGTTTGTAATGATTTGGTTACTGAGAAAATGTGGGAAAGTAAAGCATGTGTATGTGGCATTGAATCTTATGCTATTTTAGGTCTACTTATAATTTAAAGTTGACAAAATAATGTTCATTGTAAATTGTAGGGATAGGAGTGTGATTATGGTTAAATTTTACTTGTTAGGTACACGATGGAGCGGCCTCGGTTTGCTGGTCATCTGCATGCAATTAAGTTCATCTGCAAGGACTTTTAGTCTGAGCTCTTCAAGAAGCAGATTGACAATTTAAAGACCAATCATAGGGTAGTTTGTTTAGAATTGAGTCAATCGACTAATACTGAATTGGGGTTCTTTGTCGATGTGTGAATTTGATAAGACTAAGATGATTTTTTGTTTGTGTGGTAGGGTACTTTTGTATTGTAAGATAATCGATTTCGTTGGGTTTCACGCATGTCGCTCGGCCCTTCCGAAAATGGAGAATTGCCTCAAGAAAATGCTGAGGCGGCCGAAAACAAGGCAGCAGAAGAACCAAACATGCATCTCCATTTGTCATGTGGAGTCATAAAGGGTGCTCTTCATAACTTGGGGATTGCTTGTGCTGTTTCTGCCGACACGTCCCACCTTCCTGCGTGTAAGTAGTTCTCTGTTTAGTGCTTTAGAATTACGAGTACATTTTCTGTGCCAATGCTGTATATGACATTGTTTTTAACAAATATAAGCTCCTTAACATGTAAAGTTAGAGAATTTGGTATACTTGCGATAATTCATTATTTTTGGAGTCAATCATTCTATAGAATATATACCCTCCACAATTCACTTATACGTTAAGCATCACTTTGCAGTGTTATCTGCCTATATCCTCTTCGTAATCTTACCAAAAGTGAGTTACGTTATTTTGGGCTAATAAATAACTGTCCGTCTGTAGGATGTATCCCACTAGTCATGAGATGATTCTCACCTATGCTGGTTGCCTTAACGTTTTTCGGCTTATTTTAGGTGGTTCATGTTTAATTAGAGCAGTATATTACTTTCAAGCGTAGTAAACGGTAAGAGGACAATTCTTGGGAGTTTTTGTTGTCCAGCCATGCTTAGAATTCCATATTTCCTGGATAAATGTGACGAAGTCAATCATGATCTGCCCGGATAGTATCACCTTCGAACGCTGTATTTTCTTCTCGTGGGCTCAGGTATCTGTTTCCTAGAATGAATACTTGGTGTACTACATATCACTTGGAATATAAATGGCGTCAGTTGATCCAATAGCTCGTTATGCGAACTTGTTTTATCCCATACAGCATCAAAAGCCTCAGCCACTTTTTGATTTAAATTTTTTATAAATTAAACGGCAAAGGGTTGTGCTCTTGCTCCTTCATTGCAATTTGACATCGATAAGAATCTGTTTATTTTCTTACATGAGTATCTGTGTTTATTTTCTTACGTGCGTATCTGTCTCCTTATTATTTCAAGCACTGAAATACTGAATCTGACATGATCTCACAACTTTCTCGACAAATATTCCTTTCATCCTCGTTATCTCGTTTACATACTGTTGCCATCATCCATAAAAGAACTGTAGTTGGCAAGTTGGCTTGAGATCTAAAAGGTTATCTCTGCTTGGTTTGCCGGCATCCTTGTTGCAATAGTGATTGATTCTTTTTGCTGAAATTGTTGAACAGGTTCATTCGTGGTTCGTATAAAAGCCCCGATGGACGCTCCTACAAGGAACTTTCAGAAAAAAAGTTGGGGTTTGCTTCATCGGCCTATTGAGATTTGTAATCTTTCTCGTTTTCTCTTGTGTACAAGAATTTTTACTTCGATTTCAGAATTTAGTTGTAACCTTCAAACTGAGAAGATTCATCTCGGAGAAATCACAAGATTGTACTTACCGGTGTTGTGAGGGTGAGGAGAATGTTGAGAAACATAAATTGTATTTATCCTGAACTACTAATATTGGACGTTGAGCCCACAATATTTACCTGTACCTTGTTACTAATCAGCCGATATATCAACCGTGACACCTATTTTCATTGTTAAACTACTTGACAACACGAAAAGTTGTTGTTCAACTATTTGACACCAACAAACTTAAAACCATCTAATTTGAAGATCAACTAACACTATACCCGTTAATGATGCGGTGCAAGGTTTTAAAATGCGCTAGTCAGGTGGCTTGTTAAGATAATTTTTTAAATAAACTTATTATGTAACGTATAAATAAGTGTGTTTATATTTAGAAAAAAAAAATTATACTGGTAAAAAATTGAAAAAAAAATAAAACGGAAATAAAAAATACAAATAAAAATTTTCATAAAAAATAAAAGTTAGAAGATGATTGGGTAAGGAGAAAAGGAAAATTTAAAGGAATATAAAAACGAGAAGATGATGGGGCTAAGAAGTTGTAATCGTTAGATCAAATTTCAACGGTTCGGATCATTTGATCTTTGGGCTCCTTTTTGTTAGATTCGAAGAGGATCTGTACTCAGGGATAAGATGGTGGGATGAGGATCTTTTTCGGATCCTCTTTGTGAGGATTCTATGGATTCTTAAATCGTGTCTGCTTATCGTACATTGTACGGTTATAAATCATTTTAAATACTTTTATTTAAAATTAAATATGAATAGTACTTGATAAAAACTAATCGCACGATATACGATGAACGAACAAGATTTGAGGATTTTTAGGATCCTCATTCGAAGAGAGAGAGGATTCTCGCCGGATCCTCCAATCACATCCGTTCATTATACATCGTGTAATCAGTTTTTGTTAGATATTGTTTATATTTAATTTTAAATAAAAAATTTTATAATAATTTATAATCACACAATATAAATAAACAAACGTGTGATTAGAGAATCACAAAATCCCTTTCAAAAAGAACCGGCCAGGACACTCCTGGCATTATTGTCAGTCCGAATAGCACCTCACTCAGTCAAGCGCAGGCAACGGCACAGACCCCAAGACCCTCCCAGCTGCGACGCTGTTCGCAACTCTCCGACCGCTCTCCGATGGCTTCCCCGCCGCCGTCTTGGTATATACACACACATCTGCTTCCACTTATACATACATAAATTCGATATATTTATATACCTGTAGGTTATATGAATTTTACAGATATAAAGTCGAATTTTTACACAGCAATTTTCATTTGATTTATACATTTTTTGGGTCTCAGATCTGCAATTGCATGTACATATGTGTGTATATATTAGTATCTCTATAGAAATGCCTGTTATATATTTCCATGTTCAAGTTGTGGCTATGAATTTCTTGTAATTTTTGTATAAAAAGCTTGTGTACACGAAAACGATAACGGTCCGGGTTTTTTGAACTGTTCCTGCTTCTGTATGTGTATGAGTGTGAATTTCATAGAACAGGAATAAGAAAAGATAAATACTTGTTCAATTATAAGAGATTTGGCGATTTTGTGGATTAAATTGATGATGAGGAGAAAAGAGTGGGTTGGCGGGTAGATTTCTGAAACTGTTTCTTTGATAATTATGTATGTTAGGGTAGAACAGCATGTTCTGGAGGAATGCTAGGGGTCGTCGCAGTTCAAATTTGATTTTAGTGGAACATCACGTTTCCTGAACTGAAAATGAAATTTACGAGATATAGGTTTTAGGTCATGGTCGTCAGTTAGGGGAACATGTTTTTTCGTAAAAATGTCCAACATGTCATGTAATACGAAGTGGCAACCTGTATGAAACATGCATTACCCGCGCAATTTCAAAATGTTGCCATTTTCGGAAAGAAAAAACCATTTTGCCCAAACAGGGTCACAGAAGTTTGATTAGTTCTGTATTGTTTTCTGAAGTGATTATTGTATAATGGAGTAGAATTGATATGGAAACGAAACTTTCCAATAGATTTGTGTGGTTTAGGAAATTAGGGGAATTAAACAAATATATTAGCCTATTTATTATCATTTTCTTTTGTTCACTTTCCTGTGGAACCCTATGATATTTGGGCATTTTCAATTAGGTTGTGTCGAGTGAATCATAAAAGGCATAACAAATTATAACAAGAATTTTTAGAAAATAAAAAAAGTAACAGACCACAGGAAAACAAAACTACACTTAGCAAGGGCATCTGTGTGTGCTTCTCCAAGCAATGGTGGTACATGATGTATATGTATACACACAGATACATATCTCAGGTTCTGGATTGCAATGCTAATTTGTTCCTTTATGCGTCTTACTTCCTAAAATATGGTTTGAACTTGTAAAAGGATTTGACTTGGGTGAATTGTGTTTCCTTGATAATAAAATCACTAGGTACAAAACATGTATATGGTACAAACAGATGCATGCATCTATGCTATAATTGCAGTAAATATTTTTCATTCATAGGACTTGGCTGAATCAGTTGTGCAATCCATGACCCTTGCTATGTTCAAGCCAAGTTTATTGTCTTTGACCCTTGCTATCTTTAACAGAACTTTAGTGTAAACCAGCGCTGCTTCTCTTATACATATATTATATCTGTTAAATGCTTTTTTTTTTTTTTTGGCTAAAATAGGAATAGTCCAAGAAAAATTACGTTGTGTCTTACTAAATGTTGAACTAAAAGATCCGACCCGGTCCTCATGTGCCCTTGTTTATTTAAGAGAAAATGGAAAACCTAGTTTCCTAAATTTCTTCTTCCTCATCTTCTGGGTTGTTCCGGTTCTCCCTTGTTTTTGCCAAAATGCCTTTTAGGTTGGTTCTTTCTTCGATTTACAATTGATCTTCCCTGTTCTTATCGTGCTTGATTTCTGCCCATTTGACTGAGGTTTTCTATTCTGTTTGTTTTTGAGTTTATTTTTATTGATGATAGATTCTGTCTCTCTGCTGAAACTCAAAGGGAATATTTTTATCTTATGTTAGTTAATTCTTTCAAGAGAATTGGGTATATACAATTAGTCTATTGTTTCTTCTCTCTGTTTTTCTTTTTTGGAAGATGGGAACTGTAAGTGCCGCCTCTGGAACATGGGTAATGATTGTGAAGTTTTGTCAGGGATTTTAGGGTATTTCATGTTTATGGTGTTGCTATGTTTTGAAGTGTGTAGCTTCCGATATCCTGATGTTTTTTTGACATGTATCGTGGTTCAATGAAAAGAAAAATCATAGCCTGGCCAAATTATGCCTTTTCTTTTCATAATTTTTAAATCTGAATGCTTGCAATAATATTAGTCGCACCTTATTACTTGGTAATAAAAAATTTGGATATATTTTTTATGCCAATGCAATATGAGGACCACATTTCATTCTTTGCCTCAGGACCCTAAATGCCCGTGGTCTACCCTGGTTCGAGTGCTTGTTTTGTGATTACACCTGATAATATAGAATAGTTAAATATAAAACTTACTTTTTGAAAGCTGCAATTGGAAAATAATCATTTATCACATTCCTTTGGAGAGTGAGTTAGATATATATTTATTTCTGTTGTATATGTCTGTATGTGACTAATATCTATTATTTTATCATGGAAGTGCTTATGCAAGTTGAAATTCCCCCTCCCTCTTTCAAATGCAACATCTTCTGGTAGAATTTATTGCACCCTATTTGTTTGCTGAAATAAACCTGAGAGGTTCTCTTGTAGGTTTGCGGGAAGAAGTAAGGTTAATGAACCAGATCAATCAGATCCTCAACAACCAATTCATTTTGATCCTACACAACCCATATTATCAGAACCAACACCTCTGAGAAGTGAGCCTTATATTCCGCCTACAATGGATTTATCAGAAAATACAGATTTTGAAGAACAAATGGAGCAAGTTAGGATAGTTCTTCCAACTCACTCAACAATAGAAGAGAAGAATAAGATTTTGGAAACCAACCAGTCAGCGATTATCTTGACTGGAGCGGCTGCTGCATTGGCACAAGGGGGACCAACAGTAGGATCAATTGACATTGGCGAGAATGAAGACTCATACTTATTCCGTGTCTCTATACCAGGGGCTTTGAAGGAAGACAGTGAGTATGATCACCTTGTGTCATTTTGTTAAATACTTGATTGTTCTTGTTCTACTTTCTTATAGGTTATTAATTTTGTTAATTGGATGAGCTATGAAGGGAGTCTCTTGTTCGTTAACTTAGCATACTAGACCAAGTGCACACCTCTTTGACAAAGGTGTGGTTATCAATAAAAAATTATTTTGTTCATCATTAGTCATGCATGTGTATCTAAGCAGGGCATTGAAGTGATTGATTGGTGATGGTCTAGTGATGCATGGTGTTTGAAATCTGTTCACCACCATATGGTGTTGTGAGCTCACCTTAAGCACACCCTAAGCTACAGGGGTTAGTAGGGCACACCAAATAAACACACTAAAAACATTAGTCATGCATGTTGACTTTTCTTTATTTTTTTAAATAAAGTGTTCCTTTCAGACTTTGAATAACTAGGTTATCTGTTTATCATGAAAGATTGGTTATCTATTTGTTTCGACATGTCTTGATATTTTTTATCATGCTTTAATGGACCACATCTTTTGTCTTTGCGAATGCAGAATTTAGTTGTGATGTTGATCCTGATGGGAAAGTATTCATACAAGGAGTAACTACAACAGGAGGGAAAATAGTATGCAGGGATTTCCATGTCTTTAAGATGAAGACGCAAAATCTGTGCCCACCAGGTCACTTCTCTGTCTCTATCCAGCTTCCTGGTCCAGTTGAAAGCGAGCAAAAAATTGTGTCTCTGGAGAATGACGGGATTCTGGAGGGCATTTTGAAGAAAAAATTACCTTAAAATATTTGCTTCGAGGAGCTTGTATGTTTTAGTATGATGAAGAGGTCTGAGTTGAATGGAGAAGACTCCATATGTTAGGACTTAAGATGTAGACAATAAATAAATAATTGCCTCTGTTTTGCGGGGGATGAAGCCTGGGATACAAGCTAGAGGTGATATACCGTACTCTTGCTCGAGCCCAAGTAATAGTGAACTGGGGCTTTGCTAAGCTGTATGTATGCACTCATTTTAAGACTGGAAGCTGTGTTCATGGGTGGACTATGTTTTGTTACCGTAGATATCTACCAAGGCCAGTTCATGGTGAAACAGCTGGTAGTTATCTTAAAACTTACAAGATACTTAGCTTTGTTATTTTGTGGAAATGGTCTTTTATGGATTATCTTTTTATGAAAACTACTTTTGGAAAAAATTATATATTGTTTGAGTTTACTGAAAATGCTTTTGATGAAATTGCTTTTGGAACCAATTCGTAGTAAAATGCAAGTGAATCCTGGAAAAAGCACTTGAAGTTCTTCCTGCAAGAAGCACATAACTATTGCTTCTTCCAAAATGCACTTTAAGTGCTTGGAACTCAAAAACACTTTCTACAAAAGCGCTTTCAGTCATTTTAAAGCACTTTGAATTGAGTGTTGGGTGGGTGGGTGTGGTTGACTGTAAGGGGCTGACATTGGTAGTGGTGTTTAGGTTGTGATTAACAGCTTGCTGATCAAAGCACCAAACTGCAGGTTTGTACTTTGAAACCCAAATTCAGAACTTTCATAATTTTGTTTTCCTTTCTTTACCATTCTCTTGGATATCTGAATGAGTGGCCATGTGTTTTGGTTGTATTGACCAAAAGGTTTTCAAAACTTTCCTCATGCATTTATGTTTTGTGATCCAACCTTAGCATCTTCTCTAATTTGGGGGTTCATTACCAATTCAAATTTTTTAGATTATGAGAATTTGTGGCATCTCGTACTGAGAATCCTTCTTGCACGACTGTACTTCCCCTGAACTGCTACTGTTTTTTATTTCTATATCCCTTATTCATTTTTATTGTGTTGCGGATTATAAAGATGCCCACAGCTGTTATGGGGGAATGTAGGCTTTTTGGCCACTTAGGGAATCAAGGTTGCTTTAGTTTAGTTGGTGTATCTTCAGGTACTTAGCTTTTTGAAATTTGGGAATCAAGGGAGTCAAGGTACTTAGTTTAATAAAATCCAAGGGAATCAAGGTAATAGTTTCTTTTTGGGAGCAGGTGTTTTGATTTACTTGTATAGCTTTGTGGTTTTGTGTGACATGAATTCTATTACACATGTTTGGTATTTGACTCTACAAGTTCATGCATTCTGAAATTTTCATTTTTGGAGGTTACTGTGCCAAACTTCCGCCAGCATGTTATTGGTTTGTCTCACACATATAAACTGACGCATAAACTTTTTGATATTCACAGTTAATGGCTGAAGCAATTTTGGCATCATAAAGTTTTCTTGCCATCTGGAACCGCATAATTTGTAGAGGTATTACTATCCTTACTCTTGTCTTTTAACACACGCAGTTATTTTCTTCACATGTTAGTAGATTGTGAATTGTATAGATATAGTAAGCCAGTTTCTTTCTTTGTTAAGGTTGCAGCACTCTATGAAATATTCAATAGACGTCTAAATTTATCCATCGCTGTTATGGTATAGACTGAAAAGTTAAAAGATGACTGGTGAAATATGGGCTTAGTGCAACTAGAAAACGTTTTCTTAATTTATAATTATTATACAGGTATAAATGTATATAGATGTTTATCTCTACGAGTAAAAGATTTTTTTGTATTTTGGGTTGTTGTGGTGTTGGATTTGGTCACTTCATCTTGCGATGGGGAATATAGTGAAGCCAAACCTATTTATTATAAAAAGGGTAGTGTAATTTACACATCCCTTTTTACCTCCCACACACCCTTGTTATTTTTTGTTCATTGATCTTCTTTGATTCATTCAAACGGCCGGAAATTGAGAGAGGTGTGTGAGAAGTAAAAATGGGTGTGTGGATAACACCACCCTATGAAAATATGACATAGTATAAATTATGTGAAGCACATAAGATCTGGATAATGTGATTCATTAGTATGTTAAGTATAGCATGGATCCGATATGAATCTCAGATTCATATCCAAAATAAGTGTGATTTTGAAACCCAAACTTAGAATGGGTTTTCACGCCACTGCCCAAACCCCAATCCAAGCCAGCCCACCGAACATGCCAGTAAATGCTTAGGTGGGGGTAGGTTTTTCCGTATTATCTGAATGGCTTCCGCGTGTTTTCGCTCTTTCCATGTGTGCACTGCATGTCTCAGCGAGTGCACTGTTGCGTGGTTTGAATAAGTCTATAAAATACCTCCAGTAATTTCCCCAGAACATATCTGTTTTTGTGTTTTTGCAGTCATGATCTCCATAGAAGGTGCAGCCCCAGGCGATGAAGATGATGAGGATGAGGGACATCTGAAAGCATGATGGATTACAACAAAAATTTCGGACTTCTCAATACGCAGATGTTTGAAAGTCAAATCGTTGATAGATTACCAGAATATTTCTGAACCTCTCAAAATGCAGATGTTTGAAATTCAGATTGGTAGTTTCCGTTTTGCATCGGTGTACACCGAATTATGTTTCAATCTCTTTGTTTACGAAATCTATTGTGCTCCAAGTGTCCTAAACTTTGGACACAAGAACATTAACTCCACTGCCAGGTTTCATCTTTGTTATGTATCTTCTCACTCGGTCAGCTATATCAACATTTTCATGTTTCTCGCAGCCGTTCAAGAGAGCTCCCCACATAGCAACATTGGGTTGGATCGGCATCTCTTCCAGCAGTCTCATCGCCTCATCAAAGCAGCCTGCTCGACTCAGAAGACCAATGCTCTGCAGTCAGTTTTATGCCATAAAGATTTACCATCGAGGCAAAATGTCTCTGAACCTCCCCCACAAGACAGATATGGCTACATGCCGATAAAACCCCAATGTAAGTCATCTGGTCTGGAATAACACCAAGCATCCTCTTGCATTTTTCTAAATGCATGTAGCGCTTCCATACCGTGTCCATGCAAGTCCCTGCCATCACATCTTTCTTCTGCAAGTCCTCGAAAATTCTTTGAGCACTTCCTGCGTCTCCAATTTTAGCATACATGTTCGCTAAGGCAGTCCCAACTGTAGTATCTTAACCAATGCTAGTTTTCGATACATGATCAAAGACTCAACTGGGTTCTCCTCACTATTGCAGTAGCCTCTGATCACAGGGTTCCAGATGTAGACACCAGGCTGAGTAATCTGCCCGAAAACTCTCTTTGCGTAGCCGAGGTCTCTGGCATCGGAATTTGCACAAAAATCGACAAGCCTACTTAACTGGATGACATTGTTAAAAAACTGAGGTGGTGATCATCAGCCCATGTATTTGTTTCAGTTCACTCATGGTTCTGCATTTTTCCATGAGTGAGAGAATGGTTTTCTGGTGTTTCTTCATGAATCATGAGCATTTTGATTCAAATGGAAGAACTTGATGGGCAAATCAAAAGATGATCTTTAAACTCCAAATTTCGACACTAACTGAGAATGAGTTGGTAACACTACGTGATTGTATGACGGTCACACTATTTACCCCTAGCATTCTATGGGAGCAAAAGGCAACATCAAAATAGTAATTTTATCAGTTCACTGTAAAATCAAAGAATCAAAATTCGTTGCAAAATCACTAACATCTCACTCTCTCTCTCTCTCTCTCTCTCTCAGAATGCTCTTCTTCCACCTCTTCTTCTTGTTCTCCAAGTAACAGCCTCCATTCCTGGATCTTCAAACCCATTTTGTGCAATTCCTCTCTCTGAAACCCTAGACCCACCAAAACACCCCCTAAAAAGACGGCAAAAATACCAATCTTGTCCCACCACTGAACAATAGCAACCCCGAAAGCCCAAATCCCAAATCCCAATCCGCAGAAAAGCACATTGCTTCCCACATCTCCACAGAACAACAATTCCAACCCACAAATCACCAGAACCCCATATAACAGAAACAGCAACAAAGACTTCCTCTTTCGTTTTCTTCCGAACCCATCGCCGCCGCCTCCGAACCCCTTCCAGATCCCCAGAACCCTCCGGTGCGGTCTCCGCTGTATAATTCTTCAACAACCAGATCCAACGGCTGAGGCACTATCTTGAAGTCGAACGGCTGAGGCACTATCTTGAAGTTCGATACGATGGCCGGCATCAATTGGAGCAGCAATCTTGTTAATCTTTGAGACCCATTGCGCCGATTCTTCTTCCCCGCACATAGAATTGGATATTGGGTCTGGGTTTGACGACAGAGTGAGAGCGGAATGGTAAAAATTGGAGATTTTGGAACAAAGATATTGCTTGGAAGCGAAGTTTTGGTTTTAACAATTGGGTAGGAGAAGCAAAGGGATTGCTTGGAGAGGACCGCTCGAGATTGGAAGTGGAGGATCAGCTGCATTTCTACTCCCGCTCTTTGATCTCAAAGACGGCGAAGAAGAAGAAAAAAATATGACCGTTTGAACTGAAGAACATTCTCATGTGGGATTTTTCACCAAAAATAAAATAAAAGTACTTTAATTTTTTTTTTATTTCTTTTCCTTGTGTCCAGAGCAGCCGGACTTGACAATTTGACCCTTCAATTTAAATCGTACGGTTCTTATAAACTTGTATCACTAACCCATCTCACAGGAAACGAAGTCTTTGAACAGTCCGTATCTCTCTTTTAAACGATTTGAATTTCTAGATCAAGGTTTGAACACATAGATCAAAAAAGGATCTTAACTCAAAAGTTTTTGTAGGTTACATGATTAGGACAGTCCTCACACTAAACGAGATCAACTTGAGATCAAGTATGACTAAAGTACATCAAAATCTTAAGTATATGGTCAGCAAGGTTACACGAAAAAATCTCTCCTAAAGTATAATGTCCGGCTAATGATTGGTACCTCCCTACCCAAGCTTTTGTCCCTCCAATCCAAGTTCAAATTCTTTTGACTTTGTCTTCCCAAGTTGATGTATTTACAAACAACAAAAGGGTAAATAATTTAATTTATGACATTGATTGAATGCACCTAAAAATAGGTCTACGTGGGACACATATTATCACGGCAGTGGCTTCAGTTCATCCACGATACATACCGACCTATACGTGCTTAAATTGACAGCAGATGGCAAAAGCCAACCAACCCTCTTAATTTCCCAACTACTGCAACTTCAGCCCCCCACGCCACAAAAAATACTTCAACCTTTTGGGTTCTATGTAGAAGGCCAGAGCTCAAAAGTGCTTAGGAACAACAATTCCTTTTTCTATCTGTTCATACTTTGAAGCACAAAATGTATGCTTTTGTCTTGCATGGACATGACAAGGCTACTGCAGGTAAGAAAAATGCCGATAGAGAAAATCTTGGTCAGTTTTCAGTATCCGGTGGGAGGCGCAACAAGTGTGTCATTACTCCGGCTAATGTCGGTATGGTTGCTGAAGCTATAGAGAGAAGAAATCAGAACTGGTATACCCCTTCCTCTCCTCTTGTTGTCTCTACTTATATTCATCCATGGATACCGTCACTGTAACATCCCCGTCTCTCCTTTTTTTTGGTTTTGATTGTGGCTAGTGGCAACCATCCATTTTTTTTTCTTGCAGGTTTGTTAGGACAGAAGTGGTAAATGATTTGATCATACAAGTTGGAGACTCCAACTTTTACTTGCACAAGGTATGCTACAATGCCTGAAAGACGATACTCCTTAGCTGTTACTGAAGGTCTTTCGGGGAAATTTCTTGAGTTGCAAGAAACTAGTTTGCCAAGAATAGGCAGCCATGTTTATACTAATAGATTTGTCACCGGTCACAATTTTTATCAAAGAATTGTATTGTTGAAATGTTGATATATATGAAATTTCTCTGAAAAAATGCCTTAACTCGCATGTTGTATCGAAAATATTTAGACTAGAAACTAGATAGAACTTTTGAATTAAGAAACTGAGATGTTAGGTTCTGATTCTTTGAAGTTTAATTTCATGGTTTTTCGATCCTCAGCTTCCGATGGTCATGAGAAGTGGATACTTGAATCGACTAGTATTCCAGAGAATTAGTGTAGGGAGAGATGCCAGCCCCAAAATCCAGATAGACAATCTACCAGGCGGAGCAAAAGTTTTCGAATCTGTAGTCAAGTTCTGCTATGGTTGGAAGGTTGATCTAACTGCTGCCAACGTAGCTCCGCTATATTGTGCTGCGCATTTCTTGGAAATGAGTGATGACTTCGAACAAGGAAATCTGATTTCCAAAACCGAGACCTTTTTGAGCTTTTTGATGTTTTCGTCATGGAAAGACACCTTCCGGATTTTGAGAAGCTGTGAATCGATCTCTTCGTGCGCTAAAGAGTTGAAAATCTCCAAACGAAGTGCGGAAGCTATTGCTTGGAAGGCCTGTACAAACCTTAAAGCATTTAGTTCTGAAACTGATGAAATACAGTGCTTCAATGTTCTGCCAAACAATGCAGAGAACCCGAGGTTTCAAGATGCAGCTGACACTTGGTGGTTTGAAGATGTCTCGTTCCTTCGAATAGATCATTTCATCGAAGTGGTCCAAGCCTTAAAACTTAAAGGGATGAGAGCAAACCTGATAGGATCATGTATAGCGCATTGGACTGCAAAATGGCTCTCGCGAGTCACCTCTGGACTCGAAAGAATGACCCCGAAGCATATGACACATCAGTTCCTAAGAGTTACAACCGAGTGCTTGGTTAAGGTACTTCCTACGGAGGAGAATTCAATTACTTGCAACTTTATACTTCATCTTCTTAAGCTAGGGTTTTTGACAAAAATAAACTCGGAATTGTTGAACATGCTCGAAAGAAGAATAGCTTTCATGCTGGATCAATGTCGCGCTCCGGATCTCTTGGTTAGGAACTATGGAGAGAAAGAGAGTGTCTATGATGTCGGTCTTGTTGTAAGGGTGGTGGTGTCATATGTTTCCATAGTTTTGAGTAGTCCAACACCAAAAAGGTTTGCGGTTGGAAGGCTGATAGACGGATATCTTACCCTAGTTGCAAAGGATGAGAACCTTAAGGTGAAGAATTTCCAATCACTTGCAGAAGCATTGCCAAAAGACGCTCGGTTTTGCGATGACAATCTTTATAGAGCCATTGACATGTACCTCAAGGTATCGATGTTTCTTCCATTTTCCGATAACATGCAGCAGTTAAATGCAATTACTTAAACAGGAGGAGCTTATATATAATTGTTTTCTTACTGCAGGTACACCCTAACTTAACAAAAGAAGAAAGAATGAGTCTGTGTAGAAACCTGGAGTATCATCGGTTGTCACAAGAAGCGCGCGAGCACGTAATGAAGAATGATCGGTTACCCTTGAAGATTAATGCGCGATTTATCCTTCTTGAGCAAGTAAACATGTCAAGGTCCATGGTAGCTATTGGATCAAATTACCGAAGAACGATGACTCAGGCAATTGTCAGAGTAAATAAAGGTTTAGGGAAGGGAATGGCGAACTTGCGGAAGGAATTAAATTCAATGGCAGAAGAGGTTGAGACAATGAGATTGCAGCTCAATGATTTGAAAATTTGCAAAACAAAGCTTCAAAACCAAGTGAAGAGATGTATCGTATAGAAGAGAACTGTGAGTTTCATTCGGAAAATGTACTTTCTTTTCGTAACGTAATACGAACAGCCTGCCCGAGCTGGACATTGTTATTCCATATTACGATTTCAAAGAATTTCAGACACGCTAGACGAAGAGCTCACGCGGACAATAATTCGATATTGAATTTGAACACTAATCACAGAGGCAGGCTGATTTAAACACACTAGATGAAGAGTTCACGCGGACAATGATTCGCTACTAAATTTGAAGACAAACCTCAAAAGCAGGCTGATTTAAACAGAAGTTATCGCTCGATAGCACGCGATGAAATGCAATTAAGCAATGGCATGCCTTACAAGATTATAAATAGTCAGAGAGGGCAATACATGTTTGATCACCCCAAAACAACTGACTTGTGACACAAGATACCAAACCTCAAAACTGACAAAATTGTTCGAAGGTTCGAATCATATCATGGCATCTAGCAGTAGTAGCAGGAGCAGTAAAGGCGAAGCCGTTGCTGCAGAAACTAGTACTCCTTCTCCATTCAAGATCAAACTCGAAGTAGATCACTTGCACACCGGCGTCCTCAAGATTGATCCTTCTAAGGAATTCGAAGAGCACGTTGTAGGGAACATGACCGCGGCTAATCAAAAGTTACTACACGAGTGGAAACCGGTTGAGTTTACATTCAAAGATGTCGATACAGATCAAACTTACCCGATGACTTTGCAGAAGACGGAGTCCTATAAATTTCTTAGTGATCAATCAAAGGAACAAGAAGCTATTGATTTGAGAAAGGCGAAGGATAACTTTTTCTACACCATTAGGCCTTCTAGTCGTGCGATGGACGAAAGGCAGCTCATGACTTTTGGAGATCAAGAGATTGGACTGCCATGGACAGCGCCGTCAGTTGACAGCAACAAGCCCGCACTTGAAGTTTCGGTTTTGTATGTTCCGAAGCTCGACCTTCCAAACCATCAGGAGACGAAATGGTTGATATTTCAGGGACGTAGAGTATAGCTAGTAATTGCAAATAGTTGGACATATGTTATATCATAAGTGGATTGTTAATTTCACGTGTGGTGCGACAATCATATTGAATACTTATTCAAAAGAAAGATGACCCGAAATTTGATGTAGTTAAGTTCATAGGTGGAATAGCCAATTTAATCCAAATGATATACAAAGTAACACAAATGACATGTTTACTTGGAGCGGCGGCACCTATGGCAGATTTAAGTAAATATATTATATTTCGTGTAAATAATTGTTTATTTATACTTAAAAAATATGTATATATAATTTCATCATAAACTACAAAATAGAATGATATATATATATATATATATATATATATTATGAAGTCTTGGAATATAATAAAAACATGAGGAACAAGCATATAATGTACGTTTATTTAAGTATTCGACAAGTCTTTTACAATTTATTGAAAAAAAATGAAATGCAAAATAAAAGTTATGTATTTTCTGTCTAAGTGAGACGGGTGCCTAAGTGGGTCTGGGTGGGCTAGGCTGGTGCCTAAACGGTCTAGACGGGCACCTCAACAAGTCTATGCACATTTTCTTAATTTTCAAACGCGTAGTTATTAATTGAAGCGGTGATCAGTCGCCTAGCATCTAGGCAACGATAGACAGAGATTTTTTGAACAGTGAATTTTATAGAATTTCATATAAATTTATGTCACATGCCTATCTTATGACATTATTCGAAAATTTGAATGAAAATCTGTCGAATTAAATGGCAATAGGATAATTGGCAGCCTAGTATATTCGGCAACATAAATAGCTGCTAAGAAATATAGAAAAATGCAACGACATCTTTATTAGCGTCGTTTCTCGCGAAACGGCACCGCATTAATCTGATTATCCGATGGTGAACATCGGAGACGACAGAGGCTCCCTGCTCACAGGGAATTGAAAGGAGCAAGCAAAAATGGAGAAGCGAGGATTGAATGCCGACAAAATCAAGAGCTCTTCTTCTTGTTCGGAGGAGGACCCAAATCCTTGCCCCATCTGCCTCGGACCCATAATTCAAGATTCTTATCTCGAAAAATGTCTCCGTACGTTCCTCTCTCTCAGCTTCTCTGTGGTTTCAATTTCCATATTTTCTTGCATTTTCTCGGAAACCAAACAGGGCATCAAATTTAATTTTTCTTTTTTAACTCTTATTCGGTGCTGGGTTTTGATTGATCATTGTTTCAAGTTCCATGAATTGGGTTTCTCCAAGAATTGCGATATTTTTATGAATTTTTGTGCTTTAGCAATTGATTAAGCTTGAATTTCTATATAATTGATTACGTATTAAAGAATAATCATACATTTTTTTTCTTGTCAATGGAGGTAAAAAAAGGGTCTTTGTACGATTTGTAGATGTTCAATTTATGTTGGGCAGTTTTCTAACTTCGTATTTGATAGGATTAAGTATTATGTTTTCTATGGTTGATGAGCGAAAATGTCGAAAAAAATGGGTCTTTGTTAATGATGTATATGCTGTGAAACAAAATTGTGTGACTGTGATGTTTAGTCGTCTATTGAGTCTTCGAAATCCCCGAATTCTGTGTTGCAGACAAGTTCTGTTACAAGTGCATTTTGCGTTGGACGGAAGTTGTTGCTCGCAAGCAGTCTTGCCCGCCGGATTATATAAAGTGTCCTCTTTGCAAGGTCAGTTTGTTCATACTGCATTTCTGTTCAATCAAGTTTTGTTTCTTTTTGTTATAGATAGTGCTGAATTTTAGTGGCTTGACGCAGACGGAAAATGTTTGTATAATATATGATTACGATGGATGTTCTTTTCAAAAGCATTGCATTGATCAGGATTCAGGGTACGTGTATTCTTCTGTTTTTATCTCTTTGAGCTCGTGTCGGTGATGTAAATGTGGTTTACTTATGTTTTTTCCGTTAATGATATCTGCAGCTTTATCTTATCGAAGGATCACCAGTACAGATTGCAATGTTATTACACCGAACCAGGTTTTGTGCTTCTTATAATTTTATTGGTTGTGTTGTTTCTCATTTTATATCCTGTGAAATGCTGTCACCGTATATATGTCTTCCAGTTGGTTAACTTTGTTTTTTTAATTAGGTTTCTTAAGTGACATATTTGACGTATCACGCTATTGGAAGTCCCGCAAGTATCTTCAGCCAAACCGCTGGCTCCAAAGTTGGTTGAGAAGGGAAATCCAAGCTCTCATGCAGGTCTTGACTTCTTCTGCATAACTTTTCTCTCGTGGTGACACGAGGACATTTCAACATCCTACAGACTTTCGTTTTGTTTTGGCTAGGCAATGAACTGGATCACCTAGTCCAATTAGCTAAATCATAAAATTGTGCATGTGGCCTCTCTATATATGACAACCACAGCAGAACACACGTTTTATAGTTATTTGGGTGACTCTTTATAGCTAACTTGCTTCTTTGCTACTTATAGGAGGAAGATGTTGACATCGTCATGCACCACATACATGGCGTGATTAAGTCATCCTTGACGAGGTGATATGTGCTACGATCTAGATTTTGAAAAAGGAGTTGATCATCCATGATAATAAATTGAACAATGTTCCAAAGTTTGCTCCCATCTTTTGAGTTCTTTTGGATGAGATGAAAAAGAATATAACATTGAAGTATCTCTGCGTCTGAACTTTTACCCGGACCATGCATTTTTCAGGGATGAGCAGAAAGGTCGAACAACAGCACCTGAAGAAAAACAAAGAGAATTTCAAGAATCAACCTCTGATGCAGCAGGGCCCTTCCTGGCAGCAAAAACCAATCGCTTTGTAAACGAGGTGGAACTATTTCTTGCTTTGGGTTTGAACATTGAAGCATACGATGCTGTGTGCATGCAACGCTTAGGTTGGAGTGCTCCGGGAGTAACTACGGAGCCAGCAGAGGGAGAACTTGCCGAACATAGACCTGTTATTCCTTACTTGAACATATTTTATGACTCCGACTGCAGCGAATGAAAGTTTTCATCTGCATATGTATGGAACTGTCACTTGAAGTTGAATCTTTGTTTTAAGTGATATAAAGTGCGTACTTGTCTTGGATACATAATTTGGCCGGTATCTCAAATATGAGTTTTGAATCTCCGGTGCATCGGAGGTGGTTTGCCCTTATATTTGGACAGAAAGATGCTCCGTCTCAGGCTTCGGATATACAACTCTGCCGTGCATCGGAGATGCTCTAACAAGTCAACATCCACATTTGGAAAATGGAAGAGCCTGAATTCTCTCATATAAATGTTTTTGTTTAATAAAAGTTGAAATAAGAGGAAATTGTAGCAATTGTCTCTTATTTTTAATCCAATTAGAGTAATGACCCTTCAACTAAAAATTTGTGATCGTTAGTTCCTTGATTCATCAAAACATTTAGGCAAGGTATTTTTTGTCAACTTCATTAGAATTTTTGTCAAAATAAGTCTCATGTCATGCACTTGAGGTTGAATCGAGGGCAAATGTGAAAAATCAAATGAGAAAATTGTAGCAATAATCTCTTAATTTTAACTCAATTGTAGCAATAGTTGTTCCAACATGACTCATTTTGACGGAAGTTTTGATGGAGTCGATGAAAATGACCATAGTTGCACGTTATGATGAGTTAAGAACCAATGGTTACAGATTTTTGATTTGATGAATGTTATTCTAATTGAGTTAAAGTTAAACGACCATTGTTACAGTTTAATAGATTTTAATTTAAAAAAAATATAAAAAAAAAGGTTTTAACGAAACAGTCTCGTACTGTTTACTTTTAATGAAAAATCACATTTTACCTTTCTCTAGTACTATTCACTACACCTTTATTTTTATTAAAACTAAATTTTTTTTGAACTTTTTGTTAGTTTTTCTTAAAAAAAAAAAAAAAAAAAAAAAAAAAAAAGTTTATAAAACTGCTTTACCAATCACCGGATTTTCCACTTTGCCCCCACTGACCTGACGCGACCAACGTATCAACAACCAATAATTGTAAGGATAATATCGTCATTGCGATTTGAATACGATGAATGGTGTCAACGGATATCATCCTGCAACAGCCCGAGTGATGAGTGCCATTCAAGTCTCTCAAATGTGGAGCTGCTGAGGCTGAGGTGGTTTGATCGAACAGTAGCAGAGAGAGAGAGAGAGAGATGGCGATAGACTCAAACCATGGAGCTTTCGTGGAGAAAATCCTTATACAACCGCCGTCTCCGTCGCGTGATCTTCCTCTGAGCGGCCTCACCTTTGCTGTCAAAGACATGTGAGAACTACTCCCTTTAATTTTCCTCGGTTGTTTCACTCTTTCATTATTTGGAGGCTTCAGAATTTGAATTATTATACTTAAATTTGTCTGCTTTCGTGCTTTTTTGCTGATTTCCGATTTTGGGTTCAATCATATTCTTGAAGAAACTTTTTTCTCTTTTTTTTGTGTTTCTGTGATTTTGGGTGTTTGTTTATACAACACGAGTGTTTTTAGAATGCCGAAAGAGCAATTTTAGATAACGAAAAGCGCTTCTAGTAAATTTGACAAGAAAAGTTAAAAGGTGCTTTTTCCAGAAGCACTTCAATTTTTGGTGAAGTTTATTTGCTTCTTATCAAAGAACTTATGAAGAAACCGCTTATGATCAGAAGTGCTTTTTCACAGAAGCATTTCTAATAAATCAATGTGCTTTGTGTGGTTATATGTGTTGTGAAACCATGTTGATGAACTTCAGTTGAGGGTGCTAAATAGTGCTATCTTTTCATGTGTGTATTTCTGCGTAAAGCTAGAATATCTTTTTTTATCACTGAAATATGAACTTGGAGGCAGATTTGATGTGGCTGGACATGTGACCGGGTTTGGGAATCCTGATTGGGCGAGGACTCACCCGGCTGCCGAATCAACAGCTCCGGCTGTTTCGGCAATTTTGAGTGGAGGTGCCACATGTATTGGTATTACTGTCATGGATGAAATGGCATACAGGTTAGTTCAGAGAGGCCTTATCTTTCACATGCTTTAACTTGCATTACTGTTTTGGTTGCAAAATGTTTGACAACTGACCGATTGCTACAAGTCTCTTTTCGTAGTAAACATATTTAAATGGCGATTTTGTGCATTCGAAAATCACTTGAAAGAAAAGGCCCTTGAATTTCGCATTGTGTTGTTGGCAGTATAAATGGAGAGAACAAGCATTATGGTACTCCCACAAATCCATGTGCACCAGATAGGGTGCCTGGGGGCTCTTCTAGCGGTTCTGCTGTTGCCGTGGGTGCAGACCTCGCAGATTTTTCCTTAGGTAAGTTATTCCTTGTTGTGTGCTTTTGGTTTTTTTCTTGCTTCTTTATGTTGAAGCACAAGATCCTCACTTTTTCAGGAACCGACACTGGAGGAAGTGTAAGAGTTCCATCTTCGTATTGTGGAATTTTTGGGTTTCGGCCATCTCATGGTGTCATTTCTACTTCTGGAGTTACGCCTATGGCACAAAGTTTCGATACAGTGGGTGAGAAATCAATGACTTTTTATATTGCAGACTGGCTTAGGAAATAAATTTTTGGATTTGAAAAAGAAAATGTAATGTTTCGGTTTTCCCTCGATTTTATATAACAAGAAGTATCTCTATTTCTATTTCTAGAAAGTAGCTAACTTCTTCCACTTTAATGATTCATATGCCATCCATACATTCTGCATTTTTGTTGATTATTACTCGTGATACTTCTGTGTTTTAAGTTTTTATGCACTTGGAAATATAGTATTTGGAAAACTTTACCAATGTGAATGATCTATCTAGCACTCTAGGCAATCGGAAACCATCCTTTTGACTCTAACTTCTGATCTAGGATGGTTTGCTAGGAATCCCGCGATTTTGAATAGAGTTGGACAAGTGTTGCTCCAATTGCCTGATAGGGGTCCTGTCGTGCCCACTCAGTTCATCATCGCAGAAGACTGTTTCCAGCTTTCAAGTATTCCAAGCAGTCGAGTAAAACAAGTACTTGTTGACTCAGTTGAGAAGTTATTTGGAGGTAAGTGAATTGACTGTGTTCATCCGTTTCAGCACTAGCTGTAAGTATTTTGATTGACATAAATCGAGACCAATTTGTAATTCCCCTGCGTTTCAAGACACAAATAGACCATTAAAATCAGTAGACATATTATTACCTGAAAATCATCATTCACTTGGTTAAATTAGATCTCACTGAGATACGGACAAGCTCAATTTATGGAAAGAAGAAGCTCACTTATTATTTTTGAAAATGCAGGTCATGTTATAAAGCATGCTAACCTCAGGGACGTCGTCAAGGACAGAGTTCCAAGCTTGAACTCTTTCTTGGATAAGGGAAATGCAAGTCAAGAGTACAATATACCATCGTTGATAGCCCTATCAAGCGCCATGCGTCTACTTCAAAGGTGCTGATTTGGTGGACTTGATTAATAAAAGTTCAATTTGTCGTTCATAATGAATTCCAATTTTATTATTTGAGAGCGTAGGTATGAATTCAAGAACAACCATGGTGAATGGGTTAGTACAGTCAGACCTGACTTAGGTCCCGGGATAGCAGAACGTGTATGGGAAGCTGTTCAGTCAGCAGATGAAAATGTCGATGTATGTCACTCCATCAAGACTGAATTACGTGCTGCTCTTACTGAACTTCTCGGGGTACTCTCTCTCTCTCACACATCTTGGCAAGCATCGAAGTTAAATTTAGGAATCCGTCGCTTCATATTATTTGTTTGCATCTTACCTTCCTATTGGCTCTAATGCATATGTGACACATTCTCCTTGATTTACTCTCAGGATTTCGGTGTTCTCGCAATTCCTACAGTTCCGGGGGCTCCACCAAAACTGCAAACAGATCCTACTACACTCGAAACTTTTCGTGCCAGGGCATTCAGCTTGCTCTCCATTGCCGGAGTATCCGGATTCTGCCAGGTTTTTAATCCATCTCCTCTCTCCTCTCCTCTCTCCATGTTTGTATGTTTGTGCACGATGCAAAGTACGACACATTACGCTCCTTTTCTTCGTCGATGCTGCAAGTACCTGCTGAAAGTTTGTAACATATTTCTACGTATTTGCAGGTGAGTATACCACTGGCGATGTATGACAACCTACCTGTTTCAGTTTCCTTGTTGGCCAAGCATGGCTCGGATGGGTTCCTGCTCAATCTTGTCGAGACTCTTTACGACACTCTCAAAGAACAAGTCGGACAGTTGTGATTGTGGGCTACAAGATTTTGAGTTGCAAGTTTTATTTCAAACTCTTTGCTAAATAATACTTTTGAATAAAATATATTGCCGGACCGAATTTGCTGACTTGAAGAATTAAGAGTTGAACTTGAGTTACTACTTCTTCAATTTGATAGTTGGATTGCTATCTCCGTTGGAGATGCTTTTTTACTACGTGGCACAGTAAACCTAACTTTATTACTTGATTGTTACCTCTTTTGGAGATGCTCTTAGCTTTTATATCACGCTTCACAAGAGTGATTTCCGAACTCCCCTTTTCACCTCCCGCATTCCCCTTCTTAATTTGTCCTTTGGTTATCAATCCAATGCTCAAAAACAGAGTGACTGCATAAGTCCAAAGAAGACTGTAGAAATCATTCGTTTCATATACTACCTTGTTAGATGAGCAACCTAAAATAGGCAAATGAAAAGGATAAACAGAGGGTGGAGCTATTCACACACTCCTTTTATCTCTCACACGTTATTAATCAATCATAATTTTAAATGTGTTGAAAATATAAACAATGTTAAAACCGTTGACAGTTTAATGAATGGCCACATAAATTTTTTAATACCCACATAAGTTTTTTCAACACATCTAAGATTATGATTGATTAATTTGTACAATCAAATTAGCATTCTCGTTGTAGGTTAGGTTCACTAGTGATTGTGGTGACCCCATTGTACGAAAGCCATGGTCAACGAAGAAGATAGGCAAGGTAAAGACAGGTGGGCGCTCGACAACTGCGTTGTTGTGTGAGTGGGGTAGTTTCCAACCAAAACCCAAGGCCCCACTTTTTTTTTTTTTTTTTTTTTTTTTTAAATTTTATTATTATTGAGGGGGCGGAGGACGGTTTTAAACTTTGACAATAGCTT